AAAAAAAATTGACAGAGGTGTATTTTTTTATTTTTTTTTTAGACTCCCAAAACTCCCCCCCCCCCCCCGCTCTGGATCCGCGCCTGCTAATATGAAAAGGGCGTTTTGTCAGTAGCTATACGGCCCGACGACTAGCTAAGGGCGTCACGTGAGGATCGTGATGGTCCGCGGCTAGGCTGAGCGTTCGATTAGCCCGGCTGTCGTGGCTGACCCGTCTGCCTTTATCCGCGTCGACCCGGCGGGTCGTGAGCTAAACGAACGCGCAAAATAAATACCCGTGCGCAGTTGCAGGGCGACGTTCTCTGATCCTACAGAAATGGCTGTCTTTGAGAGAGACCTACGGGTGCACACCGGTAAATAGGCCTAAATCCATCTGCCGAGCTGATGAAAAAAAAGTTATACCCTCAAAATATTCTATATTCGAGTTCTCAGAGCCATAACATTGGGGAATTAAAGATATGGCAATGAACCTCTGGCTCTGACTTGGGGCTTCCAATTCTGAGCATTTTGGATACAATTGGGCTCGAAAGTGGTATTTTGCCATGGTGTGGATCGGAGCAGCCTCGACTCCAGGGGTGCTTGCTCGTTCCTTACACTAACCCCTGGCAGTGATGATGACGGGACACGCCGGGCACGCCCATAATGCGCTCGCGCTCGCGTGCCTAGCTAGCTTTGCACGTATCGTCACGTACGAAAAAAAAAATTATGATTCAAAAGTCGCGATGCCTGTACGATATGGATTATGTCAGCCGCGTTTTTCGCTAAAAAAAGCCCCTGTATCTGTGGTTGTAAAGGCACGAAAGGGGTACGTACATACAAGACTTTGCTAATTAACACAACGTCAAAGCGTTGCGTTTGAAATGATTGATTCTTCAAAATCACAACTTTTAACATTTTAAAGATGGCGTCGGCGCGTAAAACGGATAAACTGCAGCCCTAATTATAATGTACCGTATTTCGGTATATTTAAATTACACAATTCCAGGGGTTACGATCGCGCAAGGCATGATGGGAAACAACATGACGCTGCAAGATCGTACCCACGGGGCACGAGGTTGGGTGTGGAGGGATCGTTTTTCAAGATGGCTACCGTTCCGCTTTGGGGAAAATAGGGGTCGTCTTTTTTGGGCGAGAATTTCTCGAAAAGTAATGGTCAACCCACCAAAAGTTGAAAAGAAATGAAAGATGACAGGTTGATCATCATTTCATGTGCAGCTTACCTGTGAGAGTTCTGAGTATTTTTAAAGGAATTTTGAAGTATGGGCATTTAGCACTAGTGTCTATGGGAATTTTAATAAGGGAATAAATGTGTGCTCCGGAGGTTTTTATCACTCGTTTAATACCGCTTAGAGTCTGGGTGCTGATAATTACCCGAGCCGGAGGCGAGGGTAATTATCAGCACCCAGACTCTAAGCGGTATTAAACAGAGTGATAAATACCGACCGAGCACATATTTATTCCCATTCATAAATACCTTATCCGTAAAAAAATATCAAATAATTCGTTCAAAAAATCCCGATTTTGTTCAACAAGTTCACTTCATGCTTTTTGAAACATCCCTCTAGCAAAATAATGGAGTGTTCAGCTGGCGAGTAAGATGTAAACAACCCTTTTATGGAGATTGACGCGCGCGTAACATGTTCTGCGCGATGTCACGCAGAACGCACCTGGGGCGTTGCGTTTTGAATTTAGAACTATAAAATTCTGACTCGCTTGTAGTGTTGCGCATGCCTACGTGAGGATTGTGAACGTTCAACCAATGAAACGGTAAGAGGCACTGAATTTTAGGAGTCCACATTTTATTGTGACACTGGAAAAGTGTTTGAAGACCAGCTAGCCATGTCTTTATCATCCGTTTAAGACCGGCCACGTGACGGGCTCTCGACCAATAGGAATAGCTAAACTGTCTGAGGTATTTATGAATGCAGGGTTGCACCCACTGATCTCTATATAAAGACTGGATAGCTAATACAGAGCCGCACAATGTACGAATTTGACGCCATATTGGTGAGACCGGCTGGTGATCTACTAAGGACAAGTTGCCGTTTTTATAGACAGCATGATTTCTTTTGTAGCGTCGCGGTTCACTTGACTTATATTTTGACCACCATCACTGACCAAGGTTAACTACAATTTTTCTAACGTCGTGGTTACTAAAATGCCGCAAATATAACTTTTTCGGCGTTTTGAAATAATAATCACTACGGAAATGTGTCCCTTTTAGAACATCATAATATGTGTACGTGACCAAAATGCGCGTCAACTGTTGATTCAACGCGCGCGTATTTACGCGTAGAACGTTCGTATTATACGCGGCCATCTTCGTGAGACCGGGGGCGAATTGGTCAATATGCGAAGTCTACTGTGTGAATGTTGTATGCATATCCGCTATCCAGTCTTTATATAGAGATCAGTGGTTGCACCCCTACAGACAATTCTCACGGCTGTTTCATATGCGTAGCGCGTGTATTAATAAAGTATACGCTGCGCGTACGCTTGGAACATCTTCACTCCAGTAATTATTGTGACGTCACGCGAAAACATGGCGCTCTCCACGAGCGAGAGTGTCGTAGTTTTCGTGACAAAGAAACAAAGATTTAAACACGTTCTTCACTGTACATGTATTTATTTATGAAAAAATAAGACATATATGTTTAAAACCTTTGAGAAACCTTCAATAAAATCGAGGTCCCCGATTTAACATTTAAGTTTTAGTGTTTTTTGAGGTGCTAATTTCATCGTACGTCTGCACGAAAAATGAACTGAAATTTTCTCCTACAACAACGAAGATACAGTGGTTATACAACAACTGATAAATGGCAACTGTAGTTAAATTCTTTTTACAATGAATTTTTAAATTCTTGTGTCTGGGACAGGTAGTTGACCAAAAATACTTAAAGAAAAAAATGCACGAAAGTGACGCGGCAATCGTCGAGATTTCGCGAAGTTTTCGTTGGTGCGCGTCATGCCATAGTTTTAGTACACGTTTATAATAACGTGCGGGAACCAGCGCATTAAGGCGCGCTATACAAACTTGTTTATTTACAACTTCACCGACTGTGTGATGTACATGTACATGTGCAACACAGTCTGAATTATGTTCGATTCAAAATTTATTTCAGTCCTTTATTAGATAAAATGAGTTTTAAATTCCATCAAACTTCATTAGGGAACATTTGTAGAATTTGTACAAATAGAATTCATCCAGGAGTACAAAAAACAACACGAAAACCAGTACTTTGCAGCAATCTTACGAAGGAGATTTACAGCGTGTTTAGAGTGAGCACATGGGATGATACACCGGATCAGCACCCTCCAGCTCTCTGTGAGAAGTGCTCCAGACAAGTAAGACATTTTACTGCAGGCACGAGAGATATTGATCCGGATAAATTGGCCCAGCATCAGAAAATTCAGTTTGACTGGCCAAAGCACTCAAGGACAGGCTCTTGTTTTGTGTGTGATACAGTGAAACAGCAGGCCAAGGGGGGAGGTTCTCACAAGAGAAAATTATCTGCAACACAAAAACCTGCGGTTTACGCAACTTGCTCCTTCGACACGACACGCAGCAACATTTTTGAACATTTGGGAACAACGGCATGTGCAGTATCGGTCGATTTGGACATCATCAGTCACAAAGGGGAGGAAAGTATTTTCATCTGCTGTGTGTGCCAATGTATCTTGAGTAGACCTGCTGTGCAGACAACTTGCGAACACAACTTTTGTGCTGTATGTCTTACAGCTTGCTTCCAGCACTCACGAAGTGATAGCATAAAATGTCCAGTGTGCAGTTCAATAATAAGTTACAATGAAATCACCAAGAGTCCACGAGTGTTAACAGTTCAACTTGACAATTTAATAGTTGTTTGCTGTAAATGCAACAGGATAGGGAGATTGGAGCAGCAAGTTCAGCATTCGTGCTCCCCAATTAAACCCCCAACCCCTAAAGTAACAATTGTCAAGGCACAATATTCTCTTCCCCTCCATGCCGAATCATCAGCTGTAAATGAGGTCACAAATGCAGTTCAAGTCCTTAAAGATCTTGCAGCATGCCATCAACCTGGAACACCAATACCACTTGAGGTAGAAGAGGTCGCAGACCGATGGACATGGTTTAAATTAAACCGTGATGGATGTATTTCTTCTCTCAAAACAGGAGGTCGGGTAAGCATAGACTTCTGAATTTTCATTTTTATTTGCCGGAGGTCCATATTAAAGTGAGTTTTGTCAAGTAAGATAACTGAAAATACTAGGCCTATACATGTATATGCAAACACCAAATACACACTCAAAGAAATGACTTAAAGCCTTTTTTCATCATCATTTATTATTATTAAAAACATCAACCTATTTTTTTAATTCACTTTGTCAGGTACACCATTTTCATTGGTTCAAGGCAAACTGACTTATTATACTTGAGTTTCAGTAAGCTGACCAATTACTGGATTTTTAACAACACAGTGTTTTGTGGTACTTTTAAACATTAAGCTACAGGAAATGTGCACTGCATACTAAGTATTCAAAGTTCGAAAACAGTGCGACATTTTTTTTTCTTGTTTTTTTCAGCCAGCATATATCAAGCGGACTGTAAAGTCTTCCAAGCTCGATGGACCACCATGTAGTAAGAGGAAACGTAGCAACTCCTTGTCGAGTCCAACATCCCCAGACACTCCTCTGACTGTAGAGAGATCCATGGCGATGATGCGGGACTGCCATTTGGCATGGGATCAACTCAGGAAACTTCGAAGGTACCTACATCATTCACAACAAAATTATAAGAATCCTTGAGACTGTGAGCTTCATTTGCCTGGCACATTTATCTGATTTCAAATACTGAGTCTTTGATATCCCCTCCCCAAGATAAACTAAAACACTTGTGCATTTCATAAACACAATATAAACATTATGCACAAAGTTGCTTAAACTGTCAACGATCCTTTGTACCCACATGAACTATGAAGCAGTTTTTAACTACATAGTTTTTACTACTTTCTAATGTTGCCAGGTATCTAAATAGCAGGAGCATGATTCCCTCAGAGCGAGCCATCAGGAAACAACAGAAACAGTTGCTGAAAGACAACCTGATAGGCCAGAAGATCAAGCTGCTTTTTAACAGTGACAAAGCTGATGGAATGAATGGCTATGAAATCAGAGAGGTGCCATTTGTCTTTGTCAAAGATGTGCCTGCTATGATATTGGACTACTTGGACCGCTTTGAACGGTAATTTTTCTTAGTTGCAGGAGATCAGTGGAAGTGTGTACACAAAGTACATAATTTTCATTTCAAAATTATATTTTTCCTAAAATTATCTTCATCCATCTTTTTCTGCAGTCAGGGAACCCTCACATGGCACAATGGCATAATCCCCAAGGACGAAGTTTGGATTAAGATAGGAGGGGACAAAGGAGGGGACTCATTCAAGATGGACTTTCAAGTTGTCAATGTGGCACACCCCAACTCCCTTCAGAACACCGTCGTGTTTTCTTGCTTTGAGGCAACAGATTCAATGGCCAATATCGAGCGAGCTCTCCCCCCAATTCTTGAACAGATTTCAGGACTTACCTCTGCAAAATGGTGGTAAGTTATTCCAACCCTCATTTGTTCGAATCACTGAATTGGGCTCTTCCTGCATTATCAATACAAAACAAAGATAAAAGGAAAGTGAACATTTGGAGTAACATTTCGAATGAAGCTAATGTTTAAACCTTATTATCCTATTCAGTGACATGTCACTAGTGCAGGGTTTAGGTGGGGGAGCAAAACAGTTTTATATCTGAAGACAACCCCATTCTTTTTGGTCTACTAGTGCCCATTTTGTGTTGCCACTTTCAATTCCAACCCCCCCCCCCCCCTTCCACTACTACATCATTAACAAGGTGAAACACAATTTCATGTTTTTCCTCAGTGAACGGTCCATCCGTGTTTTCTGCTTTGGAGACTATGAACTGCTGAATAAGATGTATGGACTATGTGGCTGCAATGGTAAGCAGAAATAGTTTGAACGTTATTCAACTGAGCACATGTACTCACATGGGTGATGCAAACTGTGTTGGCAGGTCCTGTGGAGAGGTTGTTTCCAAGTCTTCCTCTAACAGTCGTTTCACCATCATAAACCTTCAAAGCAAAAATTGTATATTACTTAATGAACTACCTTTTCTTGTGCTTTCTCAGCTCGTTACTGTTGCATATATTGCCTGGCAAGCAAAACTGACATGCAACAGCCACTCCATGAGCGGGGCAAGTGCCAGCCGCGTACTCTGAAAAGTATCAGAGAACACCATCAGCTGTTCCTACAGGATGGCGCAAGACGACCACGAGCCAAAGACATCTCCTTCAGTGTGGTGAACCGACCATTGATACCAGTTGAAATTGACCATGTAAGTTAATTTAATAACTATCCAAGAATATTATAAAGATGAAAACAATATTAACAAAATGGATAAGAAGAATACCAAATTTATAGATGCATTGCAAGTACAGTTGTGAATCTTTCTTTTTGCCATACTGACAGACTCCACAGCTTTTATTACCATGTTCCTTACCACATATCCTTGTACGGTACATGGACATGTACTTTGCATGTTAAACCACATGGCCTCTTCTTGCACAGTCCCTTCATAAAGAAATGTTATGAAATGTTGAAATGTAATATTGGTTCAAAAATCTTAAATCTTTTTAGGTTGTTCTACCCACCTTGCACATTTCACTTGGCGTCTTCAAGAAGCTGTACGATCTTTTTGAGAGAGACTGCCATGATCTTGATCTGGAATTGTTCCATCTTCGTGTCAAGGCTCAGGACAACTCGGATTTGACCAACTTTGATGACCAAGTTGCAAATGAAATAGAGAGGCTCAGAAGAATCCAAGAGCAACTTCATGACAAGAGGTCTGCGCTTGAAAGTGCTGAAGAAGATCTCCCCCTCTACGTCCTGCAAAATGAGATGGAAGAGATAGATGACAGGTTTCGTGATGCTGCCTCTATAGCCTTCAAGCTCCGGAATGACATTCAGAATTTGGTATAGTTTAAATAACTTGTTTTCCTCAATGTTTTTTTGGCAAAACGGCTGCTAAAAGAAAAGGGAACACTTTTAGAAGCAGGTAACATACATGTACCACATGTACAGTACTGATTACTGAATAGAAACGTCAACACACAGGCTACACTTGTACATCATTTACTTTCTCAAGCTGCCAAGAATGTCGCCATGTCCAAGGGCATTAGAGCATGGTTTCATTTATTTTGGCAGCAGGGAGGCCATTCCAGATGTAAAGAATCACAATTGCACCTGTATGAAAGCCATTAAAATGCTACAATTAGACAAACAAAATTATGCTGTAAATCATTCTTACATTTGTGTCACATAGGAAAAGGAGGCTGAAACATCACAGCTCTCATATGCAACTGGGCCTGTGGCTAGCTCTCTTGATAAGGTGCTCCACACATTCAAGGTTCAGCGACAGGCATACCACGGAAAGGCCTTTGTGGGTAACCACGTCCACAAGTGCTGTGAGGTAAGAAAAAACAAACTAATTTACACATACGTGTATAACAACATTGTTTAACTTATGTGCAAATTGTGTTGGACTTGAAAAAAAATTAGAACATTTGAAATGTACTTTTCTTCAATTTTTCTTCAGCCTAAAGTGATAGAGGCCCTCACAAAAACTCCATCCAAAGTCATCGAGAAGCACCTGACAGACAACATGCCTTTAGCAGCACTAGACAGACTAAGGAGGAAAGCTGCAACCATCCAGGAAAAGTTTGAGGATATTTTCCTCAAATTTGCAGATGTGCACAAAGGCATCAACCACACCCATGCTGTCACTGATAGTGACATCCATTGTATTGGTAAATGCATTTTACAGTATACAGTCGAATCTCGTTACTGCAAACTCTGTTAATACAAAATTCTGGTTATAACAAACATAAAGCCTTAGTCCCGACTGTGCATTTATGTGCACAATGAATGGGACTGATGTTCCTCTTAATACAAAATTCTGATATAACAAACAATTTGGCTAGGTCCGAACGAGTTTGTATTAACGAGACTCGACTGTATACACACATTCACTAAATGATTTTTTAAAGCTATGATGAGCACAAATATTATACCCACTCACTCTCATCAACAAAATTCAATTCATTCTTTCATTTTGCAGACGTGACCATTCAGGCGCTCTTAAGCAGCTATCGGGGACTCTTCCCGAGTCAAAATGTCACACCAAAGCTCCATCTGCTGGAGGATCATGCGGTTGATCAACTGCGCCACTTCAGAGCTGGTTTTGGGCTGCTTAATGAGCAAGGTGGCGAGCTCATCCACTGTGACTTCAACAGAATTGGCCGAGTAGTACATGGCATGAAAGATGATGTTGAGAGGTTGATGGCCATCATGAGACGTCATCACATCAGTACGACACCTGAGGTTTCCAACAGTAAAATCGGAATAAACGAGCAGTAAAAAGTAGTAATACAAAATATATGCATCTTTCAGCTGCATAGTGCATAGTGCACACCAATTTGACAAAACAAGGCCCCTATGTGCATACATGTAAAACTGTGCATTCTAATGTAATGTAGTTAAACCATGCTTTTTACATGCAAAAGTAATTTAATTATGGTTGGCTACAATTCGCACCTGAGTTTGCCCATGGTATTCCTGTAGATGAATTTTTGTACTTTATATTTGTTGATTATTCTTTTGTTTTATTTTATTTTAGTATAACATATTTTTTTTGGGTGGGGGGAGGGGAATAAATTTTGTTAGTTTCAAGTTCATTCATGACAGCTTTCCTGATGAGTAAGAGGATGTTTTGGATTTGAACACAAAAGTTCAGCAAACTTATACCTTGCCACGTTGAAAAGACAATAACTCACAGACACATAAGGCACAGACACATACATGTAGTTTGAAACATACATGTACATATGTACAAATATGTACATGTACCGTATATGTCACCATTACATGTGCAGGAACATACATGTTCATGTCAGACGGAAAGTACATGGCAAATAAAAGGTCACATTCCTGTGCATGTACACATAAACACAAACATTTCTACATGTACATGTGTACTCAGAAAAGTACATGTACGTGAGGTCCTTGATTTATGATTATGCACGACGAACATGGACTGGAAGTTTGTGGTTGAGTACAATTCTGGGAATTAAATGTAAAATAATGTAAATATTAATAGATATGTATACTAATATTAATAAATATGTACTGTATGTACATACGTCATCATTACACGTGCATACATTTTCATGTCAGATGGAAAGTACAAGGCAATAAAAGGTCACATTCCTGTGAATGTACACATACACATTTTACGTGTGCATGTAAAAGTACATGACATCCTTGATTTAGAAATGCACGACAAACATGATGAACTGGAAGTTTGTGGTTGAATACAATTCAGGGAATTAAATGTAAAATAATGTAAAAATCCATAAATACATGTACCGTGTACATGTAAACGTCACCATTACATGTGCATGAACATACTTTTCATGTCAGATGGAAAAGTACAAGGCAAAAATAAAAGGTCACATTCCTGTGAATGTACATGTATACACATTTTATGTGTGCATGTAAAAGTACATGAGGTCCTTGATTTATAAATGCACGACGAACATGATGAACTGGAAGTTTGTGGTTGAATAAAATTCAGGGAATTAAATGTAAAATAATGTAAATATTAATTAATATGTACCGTGTGTACATACCAACATACGTCATTATTGTACATGTAAACACAAACATTTTTACATGGGTACATGTACTAAAAGTACATGATGTAGGCGTATGTGAATTATAAATGCACGACGAACATTGACTGGAAGTTTGTTGTTGAGTAAAATTCTGGGAATTAAATGTAAATCAATGTAAATATTATTATTAATTAATCATGTTAATAAAACAATACAAAATATTATAGCAACATATTTTCGATCTTGTCATTGTACATTCATTTTCCATTTTGTTGTAGGGCATATATTCAGCTTTGCTGCCCATTTCACATTGATTATAAAACTACTACTGTATTGTACTAGGCTACTACTAGTACTACTAGTCGAAGTAGAACATGTCATTGTCAAAGTTTAGGGCCTGTTATTATCGAGCTACCCAAGTGTGCTATTTGCACGAATGCATGTGATAATTCGATTACACATGTATTTTTTATGTATAGGCCTACATGGTTTTTAGGTGAAATTCTCGTACATACAAGAGTCGTTGTGTTGTTTCGTACTGCGTGCTTTGAGAATATCCAATGCACCTACCTCACGACTGTTTTGTGTGTGAAATTGTAAATTGACGTTCATGTAAAGACGGACACTGATGGAAGAAAAACCTATGTCGCCTAAGTAACAACGTTGGAATACAAAAAAATACTTCTTCTGAGAAGATGAAAACGATAATATGTTAACTTACCTTGGAGATTTCCGTCCTGATCCTTCAAATCATGCCGAAACATGGTCGCGAAAATGCCAAAGGTCACACCGTATCCATGCGTGACTTGACGAATGACGAACCGCTGTTTTAATCACCCTAAAATGTTGGCTGAAATTTCACGAAAGCAAGTGTCCCAGATCTGTCATCCATGTTAAAGTCAAGAGTGATAACCAATCTTTTGATATATTGACGACTGCAACTTCAGACCACCGCATTTCTACTAAATAAATAGTTTTTTTCGCAGTGGAAACGATAGCACACATTTGCAAAATCATTGCAAGAACACGAGTCACACGCCACGTGAAAGCACACAGATGAGAATTTGTGCACGAAAGATAGCCGACAGTTGTATACACACAGCTTCGTCGAAGGTTTTTAAAGCCTTATTTGGCAATGTTTTGCATATTCATGTTATCAAACCAATCGCAATTCCACATTATTGGCGGGGTATTTAAATCCACCAACCCAACAAAGGATCGCCGCGCGTAAATGCATAATGCAACGCACTTCGTGATCACGTGATTTTACCACTAACTACAACTGGCCAACAGAGGGCGTACTTTCGTAATCAGTGAAACGGCCGTGTTCTGTGGGTGCGTTCGAGTCGTCGTCTTCGTCTGTTGCCGCGCACTCGTTTATAAACAATGCGCGTCTGATCTGTTGTCTCCAGCCAGCTTTGTAATTGGTCTCCTTGTTCAGCAGCAGGTGTATGCTGCATAAGGGCCTAGGGGTTTGAGGTCGTTGTTAATTGTGTGGTCTAACAATGTTCGTTTTTTTCCCCCTGCCGGTCTTTTCACTTTTCTTTGAAGTTCGAGTAGCTCGATCACCCGGTCGACTCACAGACGGGTTAGCCAATAGCCACGGCAGCCGGGATAATACGCTCAACTTAACCGGAACCGGGGGCCGTGACTGCGCCTGTACTGAGCAGCATGCAACGGCCGTCGTTACATGGCCGAATCATTGGACAAAACCCGCCCGTTTCGGACACTGATCTCTATATAAAGACTGGGATAGCGGATATGCATACAACATTCACACAGTAGACTTTGCAATTGACCAATTCGCCCCCGGTCTCAAGATGGCCGCATATAATACGAACGTTCTACGCCTAAATACGCGCGCGTTGTATCAACAGTTTACGCGCATTTTGGTGGCGTACACATATTATGATGTATTAAAAGGGACACATTTCCGTAGTGATTATTATTTCAAAAACGCCGAAAAAGTGATTTGCGGCATTTTAAAAAGTAACCACGACGTTAGAAAAATTGTAGTAAACCTTGGTCAGTGGGGGTGGTCAAAATATAAGTCAAGTGAACCTTGACGTTACAAAAGAAATCATGCTGTCTATAAAGACGGCAACTTGTCCTTTGTAGATCACCAGCCGGTCTCACCAATATGGCGTCAAATTCATTCATTGTGATGTGCGGCTCTTTATTAGCTATCCAGTCTTTATATGATCAGTGGTTTCGGATTGGGTTTTAGTTTGAGATTTACTGCTTTTCAGTCAATTGCAAAACTCAAAGAAGATGGGCTGGAATTATAGCCTCAAAAAGTCTCAGAATGTATGAACGGGAATGGTTAGAACTTGATGAAAATATGTCACTTATTGTGAAATTTGAGGTAAACCTAGACCGGTAGCGCGCGCCACGTTAGGGGACGCGCAACGTTAGGGGCCACGCCACGTAAGGGCCCACTCATAGAGCAATATTAAATTTAATATAGCTCTATGGGCCCACGCCACAGGGAACATAATTTGAAACTGTCTTGGGTGGATTTATTCGTTCGATGTTTCATTCAGAAGGGAGCTATATAAACGAGGGCAGTTAAAAACATTAGCCTCTCATTGATTTGCCTATTATGAGGGACCTACTTTAGTGCGGACTCATTTAATAACCATCGCTTGGGTTGTGAATCGGCCCACAACTGAGCCCGTACTAAATCTTGTACTTTGTAGCTATGGATTCGGTTTCCCTGCTACACATTGTATGCTGCGGCTATCCATAGCCGTAGCGGATTATATTCGCCGGGCCGCCATCAGGGCAGAAGATGCAGGGCAATGATGCAGGGCCGCATCGCGTTCATGTAATGCAACGCGTACGTACGTATATACACAGAGCTGTATGGCATGTACGTCCGTACGTACATACATGTACACGTCTGGCCCCGTACTATCTTATCGCGGCTCGAATAGGATCAGTATAGTACAGTATACAAAAAACCTTGTAACATGGCTGCCATTCGGGATATGTTTGAATGTGTATCGGTAGAAGCTAAGTGCCAGTTTGACTTTGATTAGCCTGCTTAGTGACTTTTGTTTTGAAGGTAAGCAGTCTGCTTTTGTGTAGCATAGTGTTATTAATATTAGTGATTGAAAAGGGGGAAAATGCGTTTCAATTTAACGGGGCTCGTCAGTTACACGGCCGGAATCACGGATGTTCGATTCGGTTCGACGTTCATCATGTTCATGGTCGACCGGCCGTCCGGCCCGGGCCCGGTCCCGTTTACCATGTTTACTGCGTACACAGTTCATAACAGGGAAAAATGTTGCAACCTGACGCCACTTTTTTCTTCATTTATCATCTCAATGAAGGTCATTCATTGCAAAAATGATGATAAGACATGACTATTGGACTGAGAAACATTTCCAATATTCAGCTAGCTGTATATTTCGAGAAAAAAAAGAGCATTTTAGGCATGTTAGAATCTCGATTTCAAATCAAAAGTTACTGAATCATGTTTTGAATTGGGCCTGAATTCAGCGTCCCAGACACGTTCTCACTAATTTTGTTATCCCGAATGGCAGCCATGATTGCAGTTATGCGATGTCACGCACCGATCCTACGAATTATAGCAACCGCGCGCGCATGTGCGTCATGTCAACGTTTGCGCGTACTTCGCCGAATAAAAAAACCAACTACTAATAATGGAAAATTCCAACGGCGTTGAAAAGGCCTTCCTTAGTTGATTTCTTTAAAATGACAGCTTGCCAGAAAGAATAATTTCACAGGGAGTTTAGTCCCCTAACTATCTTTCAACCAAGTATGTTTTTCAACACTATTTACGTCAGTTACTTTTTGGATAGCTGCAAATGATGGACTGTAGCTTTAAATTATTTAGGAAAACTGGCACTGTCATGATCGTCTAGGGCGATCGTGTAATGTAGGCTGGTGGCAGGGCCCCTATTTTGTTTCGATCAAATTAGAATCAAGAATTTTTTTTATTTCTGAAAAATGACATTGTCAACCTAAAGCAGACTTTTCTCAATGTACATGTAATGACACCTCTTTGGTAATTTTATTTTTGAACAATTTCTTGGGGTAGAAATTATGATTTTCCTACGGGCCAGTCGGTGCTGTGCAACGCGACTTGCGTGCGCACGGTACGCATGGTACATCGCGCGGTGATCACCATCTTTATTTTCGTGTTACGTTTTGTTATGGTCATCATCATTTTATCCCCAAATTTCCTCAAAAATTCAAAACCCTGCCCTTTGACATACCCCTTTATATGTCTGCCAACTAGTTTGGTTGGTCAAATAATTGTGGCCTGCTTATGGCAAAATGAGGAATAACCCCCATCCTTTACTTTTTGAGTTTTATAAAAGGAAAAACTCTCTTGAGCTTGGTAATGATACCAATTTTATTTCTGTGGCCCATTTACTTCCAAAGATACGTCATGGTAAAGTCTGTAGTGCGTTGCCGAACTTCTGCGACCTCATTTCGAGAAAAAAAGCTTTGAAAAAAGTTGTGTGTTGCACGTTGTGCATTGCAAGCTTTATTTGTACGTACATACGTGCGTGGAACAATTTTCTTGCATTATAAACATTTTCTGATCGCGTGCGCTGTAGACACGCGCTCACAGATTGGATCTTTGCTGCAATACGTCACGTATCTAAGAAACAACACTTAGTTACAGCGCATGCTCTATTGCCTATTCATACAATGTGGTCCAATCAGACGTTGTTATTTTCATTACGTAGTGAAGCCCCGCGAACTTAACTAGACACTGTCATTGGCAACGTAACATTGCATTTTGTGCACCATTTTCCAGAGCTGATCATGAGTTGCCAGGCCAGTACCAGATTAATGACACTGCTAGAAATATACAGAGCAGGCAATATGCTTTCGAATGGTAACACACCAAGGTACCGGTATACACAATAATTGATTCTCTTAAAATGTCACATTGAACTTGAGTCATTGTTGTTGTTTAGAAGAAAATAACAGACAATTGTGGATAAACTTAATCCAAAATTGATTTTGACATGATTTTTCACACATAGGCAACTTAAAACGCTGATAACTCAAGACAAAGTTTGGGGGAACATTCCTCATTTAGCCTCAGCAGGTCACAATTTAAAAGTGGATTTTGTTCTATAGGAACCGGCCCGTATACAACGCCCTGTCTAGCAAAGTAGCATGCTGTAAATTGAGAGAGTGAGATCTTAACCATAATCACTCATAGTACATATCAGGTTGTTCATACTACAGCCACCCCTTACCTGCCCCCAAACACATTCATTTTCACCTCACCTCGTGATTTCACCCAAGACGAATTTAGGAACCTCCGGCAATGCCAATAATTTTTATGAAAAATGTATTTTAGAGAATTTTAGATGCACACATCATGCAGAACTAAAGTTGGAGGCAGCTGGCCATGTAGTGATTGAAGCTGGAAGTCTAGCAGTATGTTACGCATGACATTGACAACGCATGAGCCAGCCAATGACAGTGCAATATGTCATTATGAATATTTTTTTCTTACCATTATTTAGTTTATTTAATATACATTAGTCTTATTTTGAAGGATACTTTAAATACATCCAAAGATTGATTATTGCAACAAGCAACCTTGCGCGGCCTTATTATGGCCTAGTGGTAAAACTGTTGTGTTTCAAACAAGAATCCGAGGTTCGAATCTCGATGAAATAAGTGACTGATTAGTAAATAGGGTTAAGGGAAAGGAGAGGGTGAGAGTAGAGTAGAGGAGGGAAAGTGGAGGAATAACCATAAAGGATGCAACTTTTTTGCGCTTGGAAATTAATTTAAAAAAAGTGGAGGCAGGAGGCCTAGTATGAAAACGTTCCCATACTAGTCTCATGACATGACATGACATGCATGATCATACATGTATACATGGTATACTTGCTACATGTATGTTTGCAGTACAGCGTCAACCCTAGTCAGACCCAAGGTTTTTGCTCAGTAACGATCGGTTGGATTCTGCCTCCAGTTGAATAGGCCTATACCCCCTCCGGTTGAATATACCTTCACTTACTGGTAAACAAAACAGTTGGCATGTCTTTCGACTTATGAATTCGGACAGAAATGTATGCGCTGCTCCAAATACTTTTGTGTTCATTACATTCCACATTGAGAGGACCAATCAGATCCACAGTCCAGCCCAGCCCCTGAAATCGCTACATTTACCTGATGACTAGTCTGTAAGGTTGATCATCTTTAAAAGAGATTAATAATCATCTCCAAAAAAATCAACATGTTACAAGCCGCGCCTTTTCGTTATGTGAAAATTGGAAAACCTAAATAATATTGAGAGTTGAGACAGGGAAATAAAGCACAATTGTATTGTAACAATCATACAAAAATATTTGGGAGACTGCAAGATATTTAAAGTATTTTTAGTAATATTCTGTAGTGGAAGGTTTCTTGAGGAAAACACATGCGCCAAGAGTAACTAACAGGGCTGTGAACATTTTGCAGCCTGTCTGGCCAAAGTGGCACAAGGGTCAGGGCATAAATGTCAATTTGTGATCACCTTTACGCAAATTGTAAAGTGCGCGTATATTGTGCATTGAAATTTATGTGCTTCCGATTTCGGAACTAATTGCTCAAGTTTGAAACTTGCTCGCTCAAGTTTGAAACTTGTGCGTGCAAGTTTAAAGCTATAGTCCATCATTTGTAATTAGTGCATTTTGTTCGTTTGAAGCAACAAACGTGTTCAAAATCTAATGAAGGATACTGAACAACTTACTTGATGAAGTTTCAGCTCAGCTTCAGCTGTATATTCCGAGAAAAACAGCATTCTAAGATCTCAATTTCAAATCAAAAGTTACTGAATCATGTTTTGAATTGTTTTGAATTGCAGCTATACGCGACGTCGCGCACTGATCCGACGAATTATAACAACCGCGCGCGGTTTTTTCTACGGTGCTTCTTAAGAATCACCGTTGGAAATGCCTTCTTTCGTTGATTACTTCAAAATGACAGCTTCCCAGAAAGAATAATTTCACAGGGAGTTTAGTCCCCTTACTATCTTTCAACCAAGTTTGTTTTTCAACAATAATTACGCCAGTTACTTTTCGGATGGCTGCAAATGATGGACTATAGCTTTAAACTTACGCACGGTATCCAAATTGTGCTTGACAATACCATTTCCAAACATATTTAAAATGACTAGACTTTTCCTGCTTGCCTCATAGCCTAGGCTAGCCTGAATGCCTCTGGCCAGCTGTGCACTATCACAAGCTCTGTAGTACGGCCAGAACGATAAACGTTCCCTGGATGCCTGAAACTGATCATGCTGATTTGCTACCGACTTTGAGCAAGATTATCTTCTCATCCAGGACAGAGATTTCCAAAGTTAGGGTACCTGCTCATAGAGGAAATCATACCTTTCCAAAACACGTTCCTTTATCTAGAAATCTTCATCCATCTGGCCAAAAAATGATGATCAGTCATCAGCTCCCTAAAACATCGTCACAAAATCTGCAGCTCCAATGCTCATCAGGAATTCGACATTTAGAGCTGGAATTCAATGTAGTTTGCATTAGTGGGTCAAAAATGATAGAGGCCATCAAATTTGGACTCCACAAAAACAAAATGAACTAGAGGTTGTAGGAACAACCACACGGTGTTGGGCCATGGATTACTGCAAACTTTGCCACACACATCAACTTAAAATATGCATGTTTAAATCCATGTTTGACTTTTTCAACATGCCGCCAGAGGGCGCTCTAACATTTGGTGACGTCACCTGTAAAATTTGTGTACAGTACTGCCTAGGCAGACACTCGCATCGTTGAAAGCAAGTTCGCATCTTCTGCCAATTACAAATAATAAGGCACTTCCGGTTTCGACCAGAAGGAAGGGTCACATGATTTTGCACTTAATACCAAAAATGAAGACCCTGCCGTATTGTATCGATTGCCATAAAAAACAAAATCAAATCTGTAGCAGTTGATTTTATATTGATTTTCAAAGATTAAATCTAGAAATCTTTGATTGCTTGTAATATGATACTTGATGACGTCATTGTGATGTCATTACCAGAAAGTTCAAGAGCTATTTTAACTGTGCTATATATAGCCAAATCTTGATTATATCTATCACGGTTGATTTTTTTAGCAATTTTTGAAGGTTTAAAGGTCTTTTTATTGTAACTTCCGATCTGATGACGTAATCAATTTTGTTTTCGCGCATAGGTCTTGTCTGCATTAAGGTCATTATGTACAGGAGTTTTGAAGCGAATACCGCAAACTTCGCCACAGACATCAAGTGAAAATGCATTTTTCGCGTTTTTTAACCTGCCGCTAGAGGGCGCTCCAACTCTTCATGGCCTCACCCATTATTTTTTTTGAAAGGTCAATCCAGGCACACACCAACACCGTTGAAAGCAAGTTCATATCTTTTTCCACTTTCAAATTATTAGGCACTTCCGGTTTCGACCGGAAGGAAGGGTCACGTGATTTTACGCGCACAGGATAAAAGGAAGAGCATGTATTATCATGTCGATTCCCGCAAAACTCAAGTTCCGGTCTCTCACAGTTGATTTAATATTGAATTCCAAAGATTAAATTTATTATATTTTGAAGTGATGTCACATGACCCATGATGACGTCATGATAAAGTAATTACAAAAAAATACATCTGCAGTTGGTTGGGCATTCGTGTATTGACAATTGAAGTTCATATATGTTTTCATTTTGACAAACAGTTCCGGAGAAGAATCTGTCTTGAATAAATAAAAGAATATTGAATTCTTACAATAACAATAGGTGTTGGGCTAAAGGCCCAACACCTAAAAATGGTCCTTTTCCCCTTTTAATAACCCAGATGAGATTAAACACACCTCATACCATGCAGCAGTCATGCACGAAGCTAATGATCAACTTGAAACAGAACAACTGTGACCAAAATATGAAAAATATTAATGATTTCGGCTTCTAATTCAAAAGATAGGAATCAGACCATTTGACATAATTGGACTTTACTTCCCTTAAAAGAAATTCTTCAGAGCAATGAATCAAAATAAGAAAATGTAATACTCTGTAACTAAGTGTTGGAGTCAGTGGAAAATATTAAAAGAAGAATAGGCTATTCTTAATTTTTGGGAATGAAAAAAAAACTGAAAATGTGGCTAGCTCGGAAGATGGACCACGGATCTGCAGGTGCTGCACAATTGATGGTGGTAATGCAATGCCTTAGCCTATCTCGTATACTTATCAAAGAGGGTGCTTTACAATATGTGGGTCAATATGTGGATTGGGTTTTCAGTCCCTGCATGATTCCGTGGGTTCCCCCCCCCCCCTTCCCCCCCGAATATTCTTCTGGGATTTTCCTCCTACCTCTAATATTGTAATTTCTTCTCATTGTCTTCTCTGTATGGGATTCTGTCTGCTTGCGAGCTACAATACCTGGGGTGCTTTTGAGGATTCATTAGTTTCAAAACCAGAAAATATTAACAATAATAATAATAATAATAATAATGTAAAAACAAAGTTCTTGGAAAATGGCCTTCCATGTGCCGTACTTTGAGTTTTCTATGTTTTGGAGGTAATTATTAGTAATTTTGAACAAAATCTTCTAGTAGAAAATGCATTTTTCAGTTGATGCCAATCGTATCAACTTAGTTTTTGTGTATTCACGGTGCCTTGAAGGAATCGACATCTTTCTTTTTGTGTTGCATTTTCTTGACAAATTGTCATTTTACTTCCAAATTTGAAACATTTGCTCTTAATCCACAACATTCCTGTTAGTTTTTAACATCGCTAACTAGTTGGGTGAGTCCAAGGACCTGCTACTACACAGTCACCAATAGATAGATAGATAGATAGATTGGTTCATTAAAAATCATCGTGGCAGCACACGCCGAATTAAGATGACAATACAATGTTAAACCATTAGAAACAAAAAATCAATTAGTACGGAATTTACACAAACTGCAATAAGATACGGTCCCCATTTAAATTGTAAAAAAAAAAAAAAAAAAAATTAAAAAGTGATGTTTAAAATATGATTGACACTAATGTTTGAAAAGAACAATAACACAGTAAGACTAATAGCAAATGGGAGTCAGTGCCATGTTGTAGCATTTCAGGTAGATTTATCTCACAGAAGATACTATGAACAAAATGAAAAATTACAAAAATAAGGCTGTCAAATCACACTTCCTGTTGGTTAGAATATAGGCACAAGTATTCTATCATTAACCCATGTTACAAAAAGGACATGGCAAAAGAACTGCATACCTCACATCATAAGAATGTTTACTTGTGTCTGTTTTCATTTGAAAGTTTTTGTTCATTGCACACGTATTTAAAGGGTATTTTTCAATGTGTATCAATGTGGATAATGATGTTTGCCGTTTGTTCAAAGTTTCAAGTACATGTATACACATTTAGAAGAAGTTGTGAAGTTTATTGTTTGGGAAAAAAGAAACAAAGAAAGATTAATTCAAACGATTATAAAATGGAAATGCCCGTCGACTCGTTCTGTCTGTAGTAGACAGAAAACACTTCTAATTTTTGTTGTTGTTTTTGTACTTGCAATAAGGTGGGCGATTCCACGGTTACTCACGTTACATTTTTGATGTACTTTTGAGTTTCCTTGGGCTGTAATTACCTTACTGAAAAGGTTTAATAACTGTTATCCCCATGTTAGATAGAGTAGACCTAGACCTACCTAAGCACCAAAGATGACATCCAGAAAAATGTGTTATGTATGATAAACAAGACGCACAAAATCGCAACGCGGTAAAATCTTAATTTTTTGAACTTGCGAAGAGAAATGAAAGCAAGTTCATTTATAAAAAATTCCAGTCTGCTTCAATGAATAATATAAAGTTTGTAATTAAACATTCCCTAATGTTTTAAAGCCATATTTAAAAAAAAAAATGACAGTAAAATAAGGCTGCATTGCGCCTGCATAAATAGTCTGGCGCCATCCCATTACACAGTTAACAAATAATGAAATACATTCAGGGAACTCGACAAAAATGGTCATTGAACTCATGAATAAGGACCATAGCCTCAATCCTGCAAAATCCTGCGACGGTGACTGTCATCAAATTACGTTTTTGCACTTCACCGACGTATAAACAGTGTATACTCAGTGTGTTACCTCCCGAGCGAAAGTTGGAAAAATCACTTGGGTGGGACTCGAACCCACAACCTCCTGCTTTCTACACCCACCCGAGTGGTTTTTCCAACTTTCGTTCAGGAGGTAACACACGGGTGCATACCTATTTTCCCCAATACCGATGTTCCCCAAAATCCCTACCCTATAAACCTAACCCTAGCCCTAATCCTAACCCTAATCCTAACCCTAATCCTAAGGATTTCGGGGAACATTGGTAGTGGGGAACATCGGTATTGGGGAACATCGGGTAGACCCCGTAACACACTGAGTATACAGTGTTTATACGTCGATGAAGGGCAAAAACATAATTTGATTTACATCACCCCAACGCAAAATTCCATCTTATGAATAGACTGTCATTATGTTCAGACTTGGCAAGTGACATCCTGGAGCAGTATGGAAGATTTCAAGCATAATCCAGCCCTATATCTATGCATTGCTGAGCAAAAACAACACAAGGTCTGGCGCAAGACCTTGACAAAGTGCATCCTACGAAATCAGTATCACTCTTTTACCATGTAACCTCAATTCTCCAAATTCCTCCACTTTGGCAAAGAGGATTTTGAAGGATTCAGGGCAGTTAGTAGTCTATGTAATAGATCCTGGCACCGGTGAAGCTGAACATTGTCTATTATACGTATACAGATTTGGCGATTAATTATGAAACTAGACTGCGTATGACCTCGAGAAACTGACCAATCAGCAGGCACCTTCTATACGCGCGTAATTCGAGCTCCCCACGTGCATAAACATCACGCCCACGATTAGTAGCATTTTTGTACAGGTTGTATTACAAAATGCAGCATCCAAATTGACCAATCACATTCACAATCTTAGTCCTGATTTTGAAATGAAATGACGTCACGCATGCTTAGATATATCAGACGTTAGACAGGAGACTAGGCTCCATGGATAATGGGTGATACTCAAACAGTTAGGGTTAATAAATAAATAAGTGCCGACTCAAAATTGTAGGGTCAGTGGGGTTACAGGAAAGACAGCATTTTTGGGGGCACCTTTATATTTATTCTTCAACATTTAAAAAAATCTTATTATGTGAGTAAATATATTTATCTGTTTGGTTCCAGTGAAAGCCTTGAAGTCACAATCATGAGTCCACCATCACATAATTCCTCAGTACCAAAGATCATGGTGTTTCGTCCTAGCCTGGAGGAAATGAAGGACTTCCCAGCCTACATTGCATACATGGAGTCCATGGGAGCACACAAAGCTGGCATTGCTAAGGTTGTGCATCTAACATCAATGCATGTTGTGGGTTAACATCAGTGTCAATGTATATGGCACACTATAAAGGGAATACAATATATGACTGTCCACCACAAAATTTCTGTGAAGTTAAAAAAACAAATCAGTTTTTGCAGTTAATGCATACTTTGAAAAAGTTCATTACCAGTTTCAAAGACGATACCAAAGTCAGTGTATTCCTAATTTTCTTGTTCAAGTTATTACTATTATATGTTTGTATAGTAGATCACCTATGTACTTCCACATCAATGTAAACAGGCTTTAAAGTTGTTGGAAAAATTAACCATTTCTGATTTGTTAAAACTGAAGGAAACTAAAAATTAATCATTCCTGAAGCTTTTCATGTGACGTGCCTTTTATAGCATGTCGATAATGGATACTCTCATCGATTGACAGAAATGGGGAAAGTTATCAGTTCCAGTAACACCAGCAAACAGACAACATGCCAAAAAAAGGTTTCCATCTTTAATCCATGTGTTAAAATGTCGTGGATGAAAAGTGCTGGGATTAATGTTTGGTGTGAATCTTGTGAATTATCTCTTTGGCTATTGAAAACCAACATATAATTTATCGGTCTTTCATTTTGTGTGACACAAAACTGAAAACATCTGAAATATCCTCCATAGTTCTAAAACAATCTTCGTTTCCTGAATTTTGTTTGATGAAAATGTATCCGTGTAAATATAAAACAAGTAAAAATCCAAGTCCAATAAGTTTTAGGAACTAATGCAGAGATACTGAATAAATTTCAGTGCTGTTTTTGTAAATTTAATGTTTGTTTGAATGCTTTAGATTATACCACCGAAGGAGTTTGTGGCAGCATATGACTATGACAAACTTGAAACCCTCACTATCCCAGCTCCAATTCAGCAAGAAGTAATGGGTCACCAAGGACTATACACCCAGTACAACATTCAGAAGAAGCCTCTGACATCACTTGAGTTCAGGAAACTAGCAAACAGCAGCAGGTAGGGTCAATTCAAATGACATGAGCTGTATGCATGATCTAACAACTCAAAAAAAAAAAACCTGCTGAAAACTCTACCTCATTTACATGTACATGTATGTCGGTATGAAACATAATTTCTCTCAATCCATCTTGGCAATTGATGAGCTTTCGGTGAAGGCATCTCTTAAGAATAGGGACATTAGTATGGAGGAACAAAAAGGAAATGTGTTTGATATCACTATGGTTGGAAATTCATCAAGGCTTGTGTTAACTGTTCCCTCGCGGCTAAGGGGTTTCAACTGTTTGGCTGTTACATGCATAAATTGTGATGAAATCAATCAGAATTGACCTGTTTCCACGTGGTCTCTGGGTAGGTACAGTAAACTCTCGTTACCATAAAGTCAGATACATGTACCTCGATACTCTGTTTACCCCATTTCCATCAAGCGAATATGATTTTATGTACATTAATACCACCGTACCTCACAATACTTGTGCTGGTACCTCCGTTTTGTTCAGCCAGTCCATAGAAAACACCACCAAATCAGTCACAAAGAGGTGTAAAAAGATCACGTTATGAGTTACATGTATTACTGCCCAGCGCTTTTTGTCTTTTCACGTTTGTACACTGTGTGTACGCTGCCATTGTGATAGGAATAGTCACAGTAACCAGCCCGTAATCGCAACAGTAGTGTAAAAAGATCACAGATTTTGTTTTAATGAGTCACTCTGCCAAGCGCACTTGGTCTTTTCACATTTGGACACTGTCCGCACACTGCCATTGTCCGTAACCGCAATGATCCTGTCTTTCGAGTAAGCCTGACTGCTACTGCTAGCTCAATTGTAGCCCGCATGCTGGCAGTCCTTTGCAGTGACTGCATTGGAAACCTTGGTGTATGCCGCATGGTATTGTCTGATCGCTACGCTCAGCTGCAGAGTTCGCTGGCATGCTGCTTGTCCAATCGTAGGATATCCAATCGCTAGGACAGTGGGGTGCCCATGTCATGCGATTTTTGAGTTTCCATTAAATTCCGAAAAAAACAACAACATAAAAGTACCAAAACTAATTTCACAAGCTCTGACTTGTACACGCTAGTTGAACTATTGCTTAAGTAGCCCGGCTGGCAAGTCAGAAACAAATTGGGATACGTCAAAGATGCAACACGTAATCAAGTTCCATGAGTCTACATGGAAGTTTACGGAAGTGAGAGGTCAATTCTTGGCACAAAATTTCTCTTTCACGTCATGCGACTTTTCAGTTTCCATAAAATTCCGAGTGTGATTTTCTTGTGAAATCAAAGTACCAAAACTAATTTCACAATCTCTGACTTGTACACATTAGCTTTCCTTTTATGAGGGGCCCTGAAGTGCGCTTACAGGGGTCAACTTTCAGGCTCTATACACGTTTTACATGTATGCATATTGATGTTTATGAGACACTCTATAAAAGAAAAACATACGGGCTAGTGAAAATGCCCGCGGGCTAGTTAAGAGTCTGTTTCAGTAGCCAGGCTGGCTAGTGAAAAAAAAGGTTAAGGTTGAACCCTGTATTCAGAGACTCTTCACCACCACTACATGTACAGTTTGTATCTCTTCATCCTTTTTTGGGATGCAGATTTTAAAGTTGGTGTATGTACGTATGTGCTTTTTGGGTATGGCACCTTGGAAATAGATTTTCAAATTGACTTTTCTAGCGTTACATTAGTTATGAGCTTTAGTTACGTCAGAAATGAAGCGTGCCATTTAAAACCACTTTTTGAAACTGTATAAAGGCATGCAAAAACAATAAACAAACTTATTTTTTTATTTTTTAAAATTTCTTTTGGAAAAGAAAATCCAAATTTTGAATGATGTAAATACCGACTTTAAGCTTTATTGCGTAGCCAAATCTCACTCACAATATATTAAAAAGATGGGAAAAAAGGAATTAAATGAAATATGAAGGAATACAAGGGATTAAAAGACACCAACACAACAAGAATCGAAATTTTATAGCGCTCTTATTGAAGCCCACAATAGTGCACCCTCAAGCGATTAAATAGGAAAGGTCATGTGACCACACCGGGAAAAAATTGAGCGCGGTGCGTCGCCAGACAAAACGATCCAAGAAAGAATTGCCACAGAAAGTTACGCAAGTTGAAAGGTTTATTGATATGTTTATCAATAGAATAGACACTTATACATAAGAACACTCTCCATTTGGAGAAAGTTGGTGACATAAAACCCAGAAGGAGAGTCAATTTTCAAAGGTTTTTCAGCAGATGAAAAAGATGAATTTAGAATGTTGAAAAAACTATTTTGGACAAGTGTAATTGTCTGAATAGTTTTGTGCACATGGAACCCCCCCCTCCACATTTTAATGTCATGGGCCCCACCCATAAAAGGGAGAGAAAAAATGGTTTTGAACTTGTTGAGGCATCCGTAAGTGATCCTGAGAGTTTCAAGATGTACCCCAAAGTGCATGGCCCCCACAAGCATATGCTTTTGTTATTGGCTGTTTCGGCAACCGGCCGAAACAGCCTTTGTTTTCGTTAAGATTTTTATTTTATTACTTTATTATTTTTCTTTTTCTGTCATTTTGCCCATTGCTTTTGTACACGTTTTTTTTGTCCCCTGCACTTTGGCCACTGAAATCCATCCGATTGCCTTTATACTCGGCACACACTTACATAGACCAGCACCTGCAGTTGTGCCCCTAACATTTACGTCATCATGACGTTGTCACATGACGTCACATTATATGCGATTTTTCTGTTATGACCATTTTCTAGCAGAATTCGGCTAGATCTGACAGATTGGGCTATATCTCCAAAAGTACAGGTCCGATTGGGTTGAAAGTTAGTACATGTATGTACCTAGACCGGGATGTCTTATAGATGAAAATTAACTTGACATCATGATGACATCATCACGTGACATATGACGTCATATAAAATAAACATATTTTGAAGGCCTATATCTCCTGAACTACAGGTCCGATGGGGTTGAAAGTTGGTATGTATCTAGACCGGGATGTCTTATAGATGAAAATTAACTTGACGGCATGATGACGTCATCACGTGACATATGACGTCATATAAAATAAAATTTTTTTGAAGGCCCATATCTCCAGAACTACATGTCCGATTGGGTTCAAAGTTGGTATGCACCTAGACCGGGATGTGTTAAAGATGAACATTGAAGTGAAGTCACGATGACGTCATCATGAGTCATGTGATGTCAGGTTAAATGTAATCTTTGAAAATCAATATAAAATCAACCGTGAGAGACCTGAACTTGATGTTTGCGGGAATCGATAGAATAATCCAGCTTCATTTTTGATATTACGTGTGAAATCACGTGACCCTTCCTTCCGGTTGAAAGCGGAAGTGCCTTGTAATTTAAAATTGGTAAAAGATGTGAACTTGCTTTCAACGATGTATGCTCTGGCTAAGTTGCTCTTTACAGAAAAAAAAACGGTGACGTCATAAAATGTTAGAGCGCCCTCTAGCGGCAGGTTGTTATAGATGATTATAGATGAAAATTGATGTTACGTCATCAAGACGTCATTACGTGACATGTAACGTCATAATTCAAGGCCTTATGACAATGTAATCACATATTTATGTGCCACCATTTATTATAACTTAGAGAACTACACATCCATTCTGGATGGAACTTACATGTGTATACTTGAAACTTTACATGTGACATATGTCACAAAAAAGTTACCGAAACAGCCCTGTGTTTGTCCACAAACATAAATCTAGTTTTTATATTTTCTGTTCATTTATGTTACTTGGGATACAGGTATGCAACTCCACCACACTTTGATTATGACGATCTAGAGAGGAAGTACTGGAAGAATATTACCTACAACCCTCCCATCTATGCTGCAGACATCTCTGGCTCATTGTACAGCAAGGGCTGTAATATATGGAACATTAACAAGCTCAACACACTTCTGGATGTGATTGAAGAGGAACAAGGTAAACAAGGGGCCATCAATCTTTTCATCATTTTCACATGCGCACAAAGAGTACTATTTTGGCTGGACCCCCTCCCCTCTCCCAGAGCGTACAAACTGAAAAGAAAAATGATGGTTTCTCTGCTGTTTGGAGGGAAGAGTATTATCAGCTTTCTGGAATATTTATTGAATAGCATACGTGGTCCTCTAACCCCTATCCCCAAAATTATGATAGAGATGGATGGCCCTTAAAGTGCTTTGAGAATAATTCCTCTGGCAGTCGTTACTTGTGGCCTGCATTTGATTGCCTTGCGTTTAATAATATTATAATATTATGCTCTTATCAGTGCCAGCCAGTGTTGAAGTACTCGTACTTGGTACTGGTACTTGTACTCTTACTCGAATGTCAAAGTACTCGTACTCGAAATGACGGTACTCGTACTCAGGCAGCAAGGAAAGTCGACTCCTGTTAGTACGAAATCCGCGGGACCCGGTCAATATGTTTGTATTATCCCAATTTCGTAATATCCGATTCAAGGGTTACCAACCCATTGTTCACTTTTGTGTTAGCCCAATGAACGTGCACGACATTCACGTGCGTAATCAAAGCGAAATACAACATTCGTGTCAGGTGTATGGAACTATCAACCAAAATTAATAAAATAATTATTTTATAAGGGTTTGTTAAAATATGTAAAATGTATGGTACATATATTCTTATTGTGATATGTAAATAAAAAACTAAACGAAAACGAACTAAAGTTATTAAAACGTCAAGGGTTGAAGACGGAGTCAACGTATCGACCGCCGTCGGAAATGTGACGACCAGAGCATAATTGTTCAATGTAAGTAAACTCTTCTGCACAAATTGTGTTGTGGAGATGATCAAATAGACATTCCTATTTTATTTTCTACACATTGTACCTTTCGTCTTTCAATGTTTAATGTCAGTAGTCTTTCCAGCAAAAATTAAGTGCGAGAGACCTTCAGACCTTGGTTCGTTTCTACATGTAATTTCCACGCGTTGATCGGAAATCCAAACTTGCTTGTACCAGCTGATGAGAAAGCGCCCTCATGAGACAGTTTCCTGAGCAATGTACATCGTGATTGGATCTTAATGTCTGACAAAAGTTTCGTCACAGAAGCAACATTGTCTTGCACCATATTTTACTCACAATTCTGTGCGTATGGTCTGCTTAATGCAGTTAGGATCGATCGTTTTTTTCCCCAGCGGTTGCCTTTTTGAAATTCATGGAACGGGAAGGGCCGATATATATTTTGCGAAGGCAATGTTTCGATAATGAATTCAAAAGATCTTGCAAGAATTATTTCTGTGGTATGGGCTAAAATGATAGTTAGGATAAGCTAGTTTGGGAGTTGATGTTTCTTAATTTGGATTCGGTTTAATCAGGTTACAAACATGAACGTAACTTTTAGACTTTTTTTAATGGCGCGGAAATCGTTTGGGGGTAAGAAAGGGTTGGTGGAAAATAGTTGATGGTTGATCTGTTATGTTTTCGTTCTTTATATTTACTGGCCAATATGCTAATCTTTTTTTTTAACTGAATACAAAGCCATTTGGATTTGTTGGGTTGGCTTTGTGATTCACTGAAACCTGCATCAGACCATGGGTTTATAGCTCCATGGTCGGACAAACTTGTCCTGGCAGCATGATTGTCCACGTAGCTCTCGCAGTCCATGTCAGCTTGGGTGCAGAAGATGTCACGTACTCGGTGATTGTTCCCGGCTTGTGGTTTCTTCTGTTGCCGTGTAGGCGTCGTTGTATCATGGTACCGGTATCATTAGCTTGCTTTCACAGGCCTTTGTTGGTAACCGCAGCCGACGATTAGTGAACGTACCACAGTGTCGGCAAGATTAAATAACTGACTTAATCCCATTGATGACCGTAATTATGCTGCTTTCAGATTAGGTCTGAAAGAAAGAAAAAAAAGCCATGAACTTAAGCTTTTGTGGTTTTAGGGTTTTTTTTCCGTAATAAATGGGTTGCTAACAATGCTTTTTTACTCAACGGGTCGTCAAAACCTTTCATTTTAACGGGAAGTTTGTACTGTCCGTTTTTGTCTTTAAGTGAATTTTTCCCCATAGACATGTGCACAAATGTGCCGGGACCAAAGACGTGTTTGTAATAACCGGAATTTCGTCTTAACTGTTTTCGCTATAACGGGAGCCGACTGTACTCGTACTCAACATGTCAAAATTGTACTCGATCATCAAAGTACTGGTACTTGAATAGCAGTACTTGGGGGGGGGGGGGGGAATGGTATAGCTTGACTTACCACAGCTTTATTTTATTATTGATACTTTCAGTTGGAAATGGTTGATTGGCTTGTAGAGAAATCAAAGTTTCCTGATTTTTCTATGTGCAAGTCCGAACAAACACATATAAAAGCTAGCCATGAGTGGGTATGTGTATCAGTCTGACTGGGCCTGGGCCTATTATGCACAATGAACCATTTGCCATATGGCCGTATTCAGAAATAGAAGTACTCGTACTCGGAATACAAGCACTCGAAAGTACAAGTACTCATACTCTGAGACCTGAACTTGTACTCGGAAGTACAGGAATTTGTACTCGTACTTGGCAACGTAGGTACTTGGCAGTACTCGGTACTCGGGAAAAAGCACTCGGTACTAAAAAAAAAGTACTCAACTACAACCCTGGTGCCAGCCTGTGCAAGAGATGATTAAACATAACGTTATTTATTAGGAATATCCTTGAACATAAAATACATAGCAATTACTTAGTAGAGAAGCAGTACTTCAGGAACATTACATTGCATCTAGGTAAATATACACAGATGGCTGTCCTGTGACTTTTTATTCTGTTCCTGTGTCTAAATTTCTAATTTGTAGTGCATCCAATTATAACACCCCTCCCCCCCCCCCAAAAAAAGGGGTGAACAAGTTTAGCTATATTCATTCTTTTCAGAACCACACATACTCACAAAAGAGATTTATTCACATGGTGCTACCGCAAACTTATCTTGTCTTATATTCATTTATTTATATGAAATCTTCCCCACAAGGTGTGAAAATCGAAGGAGTTAACACTGCATATCTGTACTTTGGAATGTGGAAGACCACATTTGCCTGGCACACAGAAGACATGGATCTGTACAGTATTAACTACCTGCATTTTGGAGCCCCTAAATCCTGGTAAGCCTACTGTTCTGCTATTTTTTAAAGACCTTTGACCCGTGTGTGTATCATTCTGTTAAAAATCTAGATCTAGAATGCGTGAATTGAATATTAAACACATGTTTCATTATCTGTTACGTATGCAATTGTTACAGAAGATGTTTTTCAACAGATGTTTTTCAACAGATGTTATTCAACAGATGTTATTGAAAAGAATACGTTTAACAAGAATGCGTCCAGCATTTCTCAGCACTAGTATGTGCAAGAGTCAGTAGTCCATGAACTCTCATCAAGCATCCAGCATATTGCACTGACCTTTTGCAGACATTTTTATGTAACAGGATCACTGTTTCAGTCAAGAATATGAAGTGGTCGGGTTAACCCTTCCAAACAATCGTTTGTTTTGAGTGGCCAACTGGAGATTATCTTCATGAATGCTCGAACATAAAGTGAAGGATTTGTTAGCTGTTAATCAATATGTATTTTAAACTATCTCCAAGTCAGAGAGCAAATAATCTTGGATTTGAGTGTTTCTATATATTTCAGGAACACATGTTGTTCCCACTGTGCTTTTACAGATTGATGCTGCTCCAGATACATATAACTAAACATAGGTAATAGCGTGAACATTAACGTGTCATGTCAGATCTGAATAGAGAATGTCTTGATTCTGCAGGTATGGGATTCCGCCAGAGCATGCCAAGAGGTTAGAAAGACTTGCATCTGGTAAGCAACATACAATCTCAGCTGTGTATACAATCTAACTGTGATCCTAAACAACACAACCACAAGCTTTAATCATACACGTATTCTTCGTACACGTTTGCCTGAGTTTGAAAAAAAAATGCTTCTTTTTTTTTAAAGTTTAACTTCATAATAAAAAAATTAAAAATATGTTTAGCGTCCCCGCCCGTTTCCTTTTTGGAGGCCACCTTTTTTCTTTTTTTTTACCCCAAAAATGATACATTTTCAACAGTGACATCATTTTCAAAAGATGGACATTTTTGCTTATTTGTCTGTTGCATGTAGCCCATATAAAGCTGGTGTGTCTTTTCCTGAGTCCAATGGCGGCCATTTAAAAAAAAGTGGCGGCCATCTTTTAAAAAAAGCCCGTTCAGGCGGCCATTTTGAAGGGGAAAAAAGGGCCTCCTGCTTCCTTTTTTCCCCAAAAGGCAGGACGCTAAACATGTTTTTATAAAATGTATTTATAATCAATCACAGAACAAATCTACTTTAGGTCACTGTGCACGAACACAAATGGTATAAAAAAGTATGCACTTTAAAGGGATGAGACCCAAGTAAACATAATTAAAGAAACCTTTAAAGAAAAAAATCTGAACACTTGGAAAGAAAAAAGAAATCAAATATTACGCTTCAATAAAAATGATATCAAAACTTTAGGTCAGAATATATTCAGAGCGGTGAGTTGTTCTGGTGTTGAGCTGCTAAGGTAACACAAATTGTTCCAGTTGTTCCATAAATGATATAATGGTGTTTTGTTTTTGTTGAAAGGGAAGATACAACATTTGCAAACATCCAAAAACGAAATGATCACAATCATGAAATACCTTACTGGATTGTTAGGGAATAACAGTCTAAGCATCATGTAAAATGGTAACTCCTGGGGTGCTGACAATTTCAAATAAAGTTTTATTTTTTTCTAACGCTGGTCGGCTGACCAGCGTTGGAGAAAACTTTTTTTTTTCCTTCAAAAAGTGCTCCCAATTTTTCAAATGTAGTTATTCCGCATTTTCTTTGCAATTGATTACACACCTGTGGAAGAGTGCAAGCCAGCTAGACTGATTCTCTGACCTTACAATTCCTCATAGTCTATAAAGTGCTTTGTTTCATCTTAAGTGAGGTCTGGGAACCAGACTACAAGAACATAATTGGTTTTCTTGGTTTTTCCAGCATCTACAAGCCCAAAAAGTGAAATAAGTCAGTTTAACAATATTTGCTATAACATACTTATCCTCCAAATCCATTTATTTCTGAAAATTGTAGCAAAAGCATATGTTATACATTCCTTTTGACAAGTATCACTTTATGGTTATCACCAATTTTACCACAAACGTCATAGAAATGTCTGTTCAGACAAATCATTACGCATATTTTTTTATCACCGAGATGGTGAATTGCGAAGGAAACTTGTAAAATAAAACTGGTTTCTTTTCGAAATAATGAATGTACATGTAAGTTGGCCAACAAATAAATGCAAGTAGTTTCAATTGAAAATGTTGTCGAGTGGCATTTTGGAAGACAGACAAGACAACAGGATTAAAAATGTTTATTATTTTTGTTTGATTAATTTTTTTTTTACTTGTTGATTAAAAGTTGACTTGGTTATCAGTGTGGACTTTGACCTTGCTATACAAATGTTCATGAAGTTTGAAACCACATTTTGCAGATACCGGTAGTAGATACAATGAAAAATTCTTTTCGTATTATCTGATTTATTTTGAAGTTCCATTGATCCTTGTTTTTGCTACAGGTTTTTTCCCACAGAGCTTTCAAATTTGTCCCAATTTTCTAAGACACAAGATGACATTGATCTCACCACAGATATTGAAGAAGTACTCAATCCCATATGACAAGGTCAGTCTTCAGTTAATTAAAGTAATACTTCCAAATTAATGCATTGTGTGAGAATTGAAAATAAACAGTAAATCAAAAGGTTGAAAATACAAATCTAACAAATGCAGTATAGAACTGCATTTTGTTCATGTTTAATTTTTTGTTATAATTTACCTTAGCCTGCATTTGGTATTCTTTTCTTACAGGGTGAGTCAAAAAAAGGGGAACCCAAACTCCCAAAATTATATTTCATCTTGAAAAAAAATATTTAGCACCAAACATAATAATGACTGAAAAGCCAATTTCATAAGCTACTTTTAGGTTAAAAAAATTGCTGAAATAGCTCAATTGGAATCCGTTCAAAGAATATTACCATGTAAATGCAATGACCCTAAAATCTGTTTCGTCCAAAAAAAGCAGTTTATTGTGTATTTGTACTGTTTGGAACAACAAAGAAAATGACACAGAATACTTGCTTTAACAACTGTAAACAGCTGTAGTACAAAATATCTTTATTAATAACCCTGGTTAGGCAAACAATATGATTTATAATATCCCCTTTTTTGATAAGACGGGCCTTCAAAAGGACTTTGTTGAATATTTTCAACTTTTAAACTGAGGTTTTATCGCTGGTGATATTAGGAGACAGTTGTGACGACGAGTCTTGAAATTGCATTTTTGATCAAAAGAGGTTTTAAGGTCATTGTGTTTAAATGGTAATATTCTTTGAACGGATTGAGCAATTTCAGTATTTTTTTTTCATCTAAAAGTACCTTATGAAATTGGCTTGCCAGTCAATGTTACTTTGGGTGCCACATTTTTTAAATATGAAATATAATTGTTGGGGTTTGGGTTCCGCTTTTTTTTTACTCATTCTGTATATCATTGCTGAGAGCTTGATACGTGTTCAGAGCAAAAAGGGACAACTTTACTGACAAGCATCCTAAATATTGTGTGCAATATGAGATTATTGTGAAGTTATCAGATTGTAAATTTTAATTTTTAGATTTTCATTGGAAACCTCTGTCGTGTGCCACTCAAAATGTAAAAGTTGGTTCTCCAGAGCAGTTATGTACATATAAATTTGTCATAGCTACTGCAAAATTGGTTGAAGTTTGGTACTGAAGATGATTATAGACCATCCTTTATTTCTGTTTATGCAATGACTCCTCAGTTCCAGTTTACCAGATTGTTTTGGTACTAAAGTTGTTTTGATTAGTTTATATGAGGTTAAAGGATTAAATACATTATTTTTTTTTTATTCTTAGATAACACAAGAAACAGGAGAGTTCATGGTTACTTTCCCTTATGGTTACCATGCTGGCTATAACCATGGCTATAACTGTGCCGAGTCAACCAACTTTGCTTCACTTCGTTGGATTGATTTTGGAAAGAGGGCAAAATGTGTATGTATACTTTGTACTTCATGCAGTTTCCTCCTTCTAGGGATGTTATACATGTATTTTTTTCCAGTCTGTAACTAGTAGTAATAATCAATAAGATTACCAAATCAGTGCCTTGTGGATGTTAGTGAACATGTCTGTAGCATATGGGTTGGTCTGTGTTGACATATACGCCCAGTGAAACATTACCTACCTTGTGCGTAGGGTCTGTTCTAGTGTTTGTAGAAAGCAACAGGGATTACAATATTCCAGAGTATTCCAAGAACGATCCAGGTGATGTTCAAGGGGTACTTGAGTGGTCATACATGAAAATGTGACTGGAGCAGGTTTCGATCAGTGAAATCTTGTAACATGGTATACATTGTTTGTGTTGTAAAAGTGCCTGTTCATGTAGGTACACCTTAATGTATTTAGTTAAGTGCTGGACAGAAACACCAGTACCCAATATCCGACCAAAATGGCAGGTACACAGTCAAAAAAATTTTGGTTTTGATAACAGAAACCTTGTGTTGCTCATTCTGACATAACTCTTCTGATAGGGAATCACAAGATGTTATTGATCAGTTGCTGATGCCTTTGTTTCCAAGGAATACTTGCATTGAATCCAGTCTCTGATAAGTTCTGTCTTGGGATTTTTTGTTTCAATTCAGCTGTCTTAGAGACAGGTTTGCACTAATGTGTGGGTCACGTATTGTAGGAAACACCATACTTTGTGTGTTTATGTTTTTAATGAATGGTTCCTTGAGTACCTGGCCATTAATTCAACAGGGACCTGGTTTCAAAAGGACCTGTACAATCTCACACCTCATTTAGTTTGACCAACATACCGGGGATACACCTTACTTGTGCTTACATAAAGTTTGCTGATTGTATCAACAGTGTTCCTGTCAGAGGGACTCGGTAAAAATCAACATGGAACCATTCATCAGGATCTTCCAACCACATCGCTATGATGCATGGAAGCAGGGTAAAGACATGGTCTACATCGAGGATATTGACAAACCTAGTAGTGGAATGCAGTCCCAAAATGTCATGGAGTATAACAGGTAAATATTGTCAATGTGTTACTTCTGGTAGCCATGAAGCCCCATCAAATCAAACTGTTTGTTCATCAACTGAATGTCTGAAATCTGAATGAAGATGGTTACTTTATTTTCAACTAGAGCATTACTTCATGCAATGTCTCCAGAGGGTGAAAGCCATGACACATCCACTTTTCTCTTAGCGCGTGCAGCAGGAAAGACATATTTTTCTATAGAACTATAGAATATACTATTCTATAGACTATACTATCTGTCACGATATGCCTATGTGGCATCAGCCTGGACCTATCCTCATTTTTCCGCCTAGGTATGGGATGACATTTCGCCCCATTGCGGCAGAGCACACACTCCATATTGCATGACCAGTTCCGTCATATTGCATGACCGTTTCTAACCAGTTGCCTTGACTGATCTCCGAAATTGCTGCCATGGTTCATTATTAAATGAGCTATCGAATGTTTTGACGTCCATGTTGTTGTCGGACCATAGGCATTCCTTACAGCCATCTATGGTTGTGTGCGTGATCATAGCTCAATCATCAGCACACTGCTCAACTGCAAGCACGGATTTATGCAGAAATACTCCCAATGGCTACACATTGTGGCATATTCAACTGGGTATTCTACAGCTGTATGCTTCCAACTTCATACGCTATCTCTCAGCTTTTATACTGGCTCACTATTAAATGCAAAGAATTGCCCAGGAACACATTTGTTGGTAGGCACTATGTACAGTCAGCTCCCGTTATTATGAAAACAGTTAGAAATTCCGGTTCTAACAAACTCATATCTTCGGTCCTAGCAAAATTGTGCAAATTTCTATGGGAAGAAATTCGCTGAAGACGAAAACGGACAGTATGAAATTTCTGTTACAACGAAAGGTTTGGCGACCCTGTTGCGTAAAAAAAAATTGTTAGCGACCCATTTTGTGCGGAAAAAACACACAAAAGCTTTTTGTTCTGTCTTTCAGACCTAATCTGAAAGCACATAATTACGGTCATCAATAGGTGAAGTAAAGAATGAAAACACACCAGATCAACAATTTTCCACCAACACTTTATTACCCCCAAACGATTCCTGCACCATTAAAAAAAGTCTGAATGTTACCTTCATTGTTCGTAACCTGATTGAAACGAATCCAAACTTAGAAATATGAAATCCCAAAATTATCATTTTAGCTCGTACAACACAAATAATTCTTCCAAGATCTTGTGAATTCATTATCCAAACATTGCTTTCGCAACATTCACCGAAAGTAAGATATCGGCACTTCCCATTCCGCAAATTTAAAAAAAGGCAACCTCTGGGGAAAAAAAACCGATCATCTTGTCACTGCATTATGCAGACCATACGTACAGGATTGTGGGTAAAATATGGTGCAAGCCAATAAGCTCACGTTGCTCCTGTGACGAATATTTCACAAGTCATTAAGATCCAATCGTGATGTACCATTATGACATCAATGCTCAGGAAACTGTCTCATGAGGGCGCTTTCTGATCAGCTGATGGTACTTTTATTGTAGGATCGTACCAGCTTGTACACGTTATGTTGTAGTCTCAAACCCATCTGCCTATAGTGCTATTCAGCATATGTAGTAATGCTTTACAGGTAATATGAACACAGTAGAATCTCCCGTCCCCCCCCCCCCCCCCCCCCCCCCCCCGAATTGTGGGCTGATTCTACTAGCAAGTACTTACCAGTAGAGCACCGCCCCGCCTCCCCACTCTCACTTCCGCATTTACTTATGCACTTGTACCCTCCAGAAAAGGGGATGTGTCATGGCAGATGAAATGCAAGGCACTGTGGGAAATGGCTAATGCCGTCTAGGAAATATTGCATATGTAGTAATGATCTGTAGGTAGCTCCTCACTAGTAGAATCAGTCCACACTTCTGTGAGAGGGGGTGGGGGATTTCCAGGCTGTGATATGAACAGAAAAATTGCCAGCCATCTCGCACTGCACTGTAATGTACATTGTAATGCACATGCCATGGAACTGTTATTTAAATTTGTTTATACTGCAAGATATTAAAAAGTGGAGATGTTTGAAACACAGCAAGAGTAATACCTTTCTGTTGATGGCGATACTAACACTTTGAAAGGGCAATAGACCTTTTTTTAATGGGATCCTGGAAATGCTACCATGATTTCTGTTATAACCTTCTTAAAACTTGATGTCAAGGTTGAATACCAAGGTCAAAGGTTATATGAGGTCAAGCTGCATAATAGGCTGAACATGTAAAATTGGTCTCATTTGAAAAGTTTAAGTCTAATTGGAACCACTTGGGTCATAGATGCAACATGGGAACCTTCAAATGATAATGATGTCAAAGGTCACACATCAAGGTCATGGACGCTATACTATAAGTCTTGATAGTTACGGATCATTGATTGTACATCGTCCTTGAATTTTGAAATGTGTATCTTTCAAAATCTAACATCTTCAAACTACTGCTATTTATCTCCAATAAATATGTCATTAGGTGGGAAAATATCTTATTAACATGAATGACTGAAATAATTCAAGTACACTCACTGTCACAAAACATCTCTCTTGCTAGTAAATAAGGAATGTGATCTTTGGTAAAGTTACACAAATCGGAGGGCATTAAAACTGCAGGGCAATCATTTGATAGCATGGCGATTGGTGCTTTTAAAACTGTCAAGCCTTCTGCCACACCTTCAAGACAAAGACCTACCATAGCAACGACACAAAGCTCCCACAAGTCCCTTGGACAAAAAAATCCTTCTCAAACTTCCCGCAATGACGTACAGGTCATCTAACTACTGAATATAAAAACTTACTTTGAATGTACGTGCTAAATGCAAGGGACTTTGTGACATTGCTTTGTACCTTTGATTTGTATGCAGAAGAAATTGAAACCTTTTTTTTTTTAGGCAAATCTGTTCCCAGATCCTGGTAGTTTAAATACCTGGAAATCACCCCATCATTTTGTTCTTATTTTTAAGTCCTAGAAAATCCAATGATGATGGAATGCCGCTCAAGACCAGACGTCAACCACTGCACAAAAAGGATGGGAGACGTGTCAAGACAGGAACAACAAGTCAACGAAAACGTAACCATAAAGAGTTGCATAAGGAAGATGAGCAATCCAATGTGCAGACAACATTAATCATGCAACAACAGACTGCATCGCTTACAACCCCAATTGTAAGCATTGAGATAGAACCTTTGCAAGCAGCTACTACAGTCACTTACAGTGATGTGCCAAGGGTCTTGAGCAGCTTGGAAACAACTGTACAAGAAGATATTGTCAATGAGAGTGAGGAGCCTAAACCAAAAATACCTCGCAATGAGCTGCCATCACCAAGTCCTGACCTTTCAGAAAGCAGTACTCTAAAAGCCAAGAAAAAGACCTCCAATTCTGGAAAGGGGGATTCAAAATTGAAAAAAAAGCTTTCTCACAAATACAAGGAATCTAGAACTGAGCATTTGGACTCGGAGAGAATCAATGCAAAGTCAAAAAAGAAACATCCAAAATGTATGAAAGAGAAATCCAAGTCAAAAAATAAAGAAAGTAAACTAATGAGAGAAACGAAACCAGCTGCAGAGATGTCCATACATGTAAGTGCAGGAGTTGGCATACACAATCAAACTGAAGACCATCAGAATGTTTTTACCTCTAATGATGGCCTTCTGAAAGCGAGTGGTAAATATTCCCATCAGAAGACAAAAGTAAAACCACAGAAAACAGGGTTACTGTTGGAACAGGAGAAAGCAAGAAAGAAAAAGAAACTCAAATCCCAGAAAACTGCATTGCTGAAGCTGAAAGATGGAGTAAAAAGGGAGCATGCATACAGCAGCAGCCCAAGCAACCAGCAATCCAGAACAACCAGCCAGACGACCAGCAGTCCAGACCTTCATAGAAACAAATCCAACCACAAGAAAATCAAGCTGAATAAACTTGTAGAAAAATCTACAAAGACCGAGACAAATACTACAGAGGAACAACTGGGCTACTTATCAACTGACAAAGCTGGAACAAAAGTTAAACATGAAGGATGTATGCAAGAGTTGCTATCCAAGTCAGCAGATAAAATGGCAGATCAGAATTGCATGGAGTTAACATCAAAGAGCAAAGCAGCTGCCAAGACTTCAGGACCAAAGGGAAAAGCAAAGCACGGTAATGGATAGATTTGGGAAAACAGTAACAAAACTGACAAACTTTTTTTGGATGGCAAGCTTTGTGCTTGTTCTGAAGATCATTGCATTGAATAGATATCAGATATGTTTTTGGATCAAGTAGGACCCATTTTTGGTACCATTTTCTCCCCTTGCCCTTTTGGGGCTAGTCTGAGAATCAGCCGTTATCCAGGGAGCCAAATCCTGTATAACATCTGATATATCTAGACATATACATATATGCAAGCTGTGCGCCAGCCAATCGGAGTCGACTTTACTAAATCGTGACGTCATTTCATTTCTAAATCAGGACTAAATGGTGTGATTGGTCAATTTGAAAGCAGTGTTTTGTAATACAACAACAGCCGGGCGCGATATCGCGTAACATACAGAGTGCGTGACACATTTTTTAAAAATCCATTGTCTATGACGCGCAACGGATGAATGACCGAAGACCCGATATAGAAAGCAGATTGGTCAAAATATAGGAGGTCAAGAGGTGGGGTCTTGCCTAAGTAATCAGCGAATCTGTTCACGCGTAATAGACCACGGCATTCCTATTACATAGACTATTTTGGGGCTAGGGAGAAAGGGGAGTTTGTCTGTTTTTTTTTATGCCGAGCCTATGTGAGCTTCTAGACTGATATCTTGCAGACGTTTTGATGTCAATTTCATAACTGGATGTAGTTTTTTTGCAAAATGTCCTGGGGTGCCTGAAAATCTTTTATCATTGCCCATGGACATAAAAATGCACTAATTATACAGACATTAACCCTAACTCCCTAGGCCTTTTTGCTAGGATGTAGCCTCAATCCTGCAAAATCCTCCAATTGGCCTCATGGAAAAATAGCATATAGCCTCAATCCTGCAAATTCCTCCGCTATTTCTTGAATATGGTCCATGGAGGGATGACCACTGCCTGAATCCTGCAAAATCCTCCGGCTATGACTGTCAATAGGCCGAGGCAGAGGCAGTGACATCCTGGAGCAGTGCGGAGGATGTCAAGTATAATCAAGGGCTAAATTTATGCACGGCTGAGCATAAACAACACAAGGTCCGGCCCAAGACCTTGACACAGTGCGTACTCCGAAATCAGCAACGCACTTTTGCCATGTAACCTCAATCCTGCAAATTCCTCCAATTTGCAAAAAGGATTTTGGAGGATTCAGGGCGGTTAGGGTTAATGGCATCTCTTTATCTGTTTATATGGCTAACTCTCCTACCTTCTAAAACATTTTCATCATAAGGAAAAAGGTGTTGAGGAAACCATGATATACTTGTAGATCTAGTATTATGACACGACACATGACATATTGAGTGATGCAGAGTTTTGTTCTTTTTCAGCAACACTGGAATTAATGTTATGTATTGACAGATCCGGGTACTTGATTACTGTACATTCACAAGGCCCCCATCAATGGATAAACTATTGTGTATGCTACTTTAAAGTTGGTATATACATGCTTTTTCAAAATTTCAATTTTCTTTTCTGAACGAAATTTAAAGGATGCAGCGTAGTATAAACGAGTCCTGTTTATTACGTCACGATTTACTATGTTTTGTTTGCTGCCCCCAACGACGACTTTTACACAAATTGCACGTTGGGGTCGAAACAGGACCTGAAAAACAGCTCTCAAAAGTACCTTTTGTACTCATTTCATGACAGACACAATAGTCGTTTTTATTTCATCACACCTTAGGCTACATATACCCGAAAAATGACAGAAATGTCTTCGAGCATTTCACAACCTCTTTAAACTCGAAAATAGCACAGGGAATGCAAATTTAAATAGTGATTGAAATGAATGGTACTACATTTGCCTCAAAATCCATTTGTGTCATTATTTGTGTCACTGCCTACGAAATTAGGCAAACGCCACCAAACTCTGATCTCAGTAGCTTGTATACAGAGTTTATTTTGTGTCTGTCATAGCATCTAACTATGCAAATGTACATAGTACAGGCATGCAACTTTTCCTCGGATCAGCTGATTTCCTTGTTTTTCACTTCACACTTATGCCATTCAAAATTGAAATCACTGTACAAAGTCTTGTAAAGATTGAAGTTTCCTCGTTTTTCCTTTCTTCCAAGTTGCATGCCTGATAATAGCACTTTCTCTTTCATTTTTTCTTTTGGTTAGATTTCACTTCACAAGAGTTTGCCACAATGAAAGTTTGGGCTCGTTCTATGAATGGTCTGTGGGTGACCCAGCCACATAGCTATGACATGGAGCTTGCATATAACTTGTCCATGGCGGACCAGAGACCAGGCTGCTGTATTTGTATGCTGTTCTACAATGAGAAGGTGGGTTTCTTAACAAGTTTGAATCGGGAATATTTTGACATCGACCGGACCCAGGCGCGGGATTGTTTTTCACGAACGTCGATGCCAGACGGGTTCAGGCCGTCCTCTGTGGGTAGCACACCCTGATATTTCTGGCCTCGCTCCCTGTGAGCGGGACGCAGACAGATATTCCCGGCCTCGCTCGTTACATGTTTATCTGTCATCCGTTCTGAATACCACAAAACCTTTGCGTGTATAGGCCTACACATCATCCCACGTGAACTGGTGAATCATCCTTGTTCAAGTTGTCTTCCCACAGTACCTTTTCATCACTTTTCTTGATACTTCAATGCCTGTTTAAATCCAGCAGTCAGCCAGACCGCATATTAAACCTGTTTACAGAGCATTTTCTGCATATTCAATACAAGGCTTCACCTCACCTGGAGGCTGTCCCTCGCCTGGAGGCTGTCCCTCGCCTGGAGGCTGTCCTTGTAAATTGGATTGTTATTCACTCATCCAACAGCCTTCAGGTTATAGCCTACAGTATGTGAGCACTGGTTCAGTACAGGGTACCATAGAAAAAACGTCCAACTCCAGAATAATATGCCAGGCATTCTGGCAAAAAATCAGACAGAACTGGGCAAAGGTCAAAATGAGGGTTTGTGAGTATTAGGAAAGAGAAATAAAAATATTCTAACAAGACTGTTTGTTGCACTACAATCAGACGTATCATCTACAATACTGAGAAAAAGTTTCAAATTCAAGTTTTGTAGTCATGAAAATGAAAGATGCCAATTATTAATCCTTTAAAACACTTTCATTCCACACTTTTTATACTAGTAGACATCAAAGATTACAAGTAATCTGAAAATCCCCCCAAAACACTCACCCCCTTTCGTTTTTTTCCTTTTTTCTCCACAACAGCCTGTGCCCAGTTCTATCTTTTTTTGCCAAAATGCCTCGCATATATCTGCCTAATCAAGTGTAACATCATGTGTAACATCATGTGTAACATCATGTGTAACATGTGAATACGGTACCTGATATAAAGCGCCGTAATATGAATAAACACTATCCATTGCATAGTTATGACCCATAGGTCATCCTCAGTTATTCATCACACGCACAACACACACACATATGAGTGCAACAGAATCATACATTGTGTGTCAAATGGAATTTACACAGGCTCAACAATGAAAAGGGTTTTGGGCCAAAAGTACCTGAAAATCAACCAAATTGCATTATTGAAAGTGTGATCGACTCGTACATGTACTGGCAGTTTGGCCTCCATTATTAATGTTCAGGGTGGAAACCCTACATCAACATACAGTATGTTAAAATTCCAATTGTCTTTTGTACTCCATCTTTTCTTGCTTTACTTCTTATATAGCTTGATGGTAAGGACTGGGATAGCAATAAAACAGCATGCAGTAGTCTGACAGGGCAAGGTGCTTCCATTGACCGACATACACTTGTTCTAACACCAGAGATGTGTTTTGCTGCAACCAGTGAGAATCGATTCCCAGATTGTAGAAACATGGCACTGACCTCTGAAGGCCGAAGTGTACTGCTGCACTGTAACCAGTGCAAGATCGCAGTTCATGCAAGTGAGTTTACATTTTTATTATTATCATTATTATTATTATTATTAATCATTTCTGGTAAAGAAACCAAGGATTCCTCAAAAGCGCCCTAGGCACTGTAGCTCGCAAGCCTGAAGAAACCTGTGGAGAGAAGACAATGAGAAGAAGTTACAGTTTTAGAGGTGGGAGGAAAAGCCCAGAAGAATATTCTGGGGAAAACCCACGGAATCAGGCAGGGACTGAAAACCCAATCCACATATTGGCCCAGGCGGGATTCGAACCCGGGTCACAGCGGTGGAAGGCGAGGAAAGTACTGCTGTGCCAACCTGACTCCCCACGCCAACCTGACTCCCCAAATCAAGTCAATGAATCTTGTTAGCCCCAGTTTTAGCATGACTTTTCACACACACACACCATGGAGAGTTAGGATTTTATACCATTGTTCGACAGGAACATTTTACATGTGTAAGTACTAAATGTGTCTGTTGTACCTCATTTGGAAACCGATAGAGTAATTCAACTGGAAAGGATGGTCATCCTTTTTCCTGATTCTCTTTACTGATTCTCATGCCATTAGTGCTGTTTGAAATTTCAATCCTCAATTCTCATTCACTATTGAAATCACTATTGTCCCTTGTTTATTTATTCTTCAACTTTTGAGGACCTCCCATATGTTTTGTAAACACACCTCAAAAGTGGACCTTGGCCAAATTGTGGACACTATTCTATATTGTTCAAGGCCCACAGTTTGAATACAGTTACATACACACTCTTCGCATACTGTGTGTAGCAACGATGTGTGGGAGAAGCTATGACACTGAAGCTTCTTCCTACTGTAACCGGGGAGAGTGGAATTAGTTAGTTTTTAAAATGTGGCACTCTCCTTATGTCCGAGGGGTTCCACTAAAAAATGATTTGGGTAGAGCGAATGTTTTCTGTTGTCTCACAAATATGAAATGGTTTATTTACAGTACAAATAGAGACAATATATATACAAATTATTAGGTATTTACACAAGAATTATATTAGAAACTTGGTTGGGTGTATAAAAACGACAGTCAAAAGGGAAATGGGCTAATGAAGTAGCTCCAAGGATATTATCTGAAATGCATAAAAACAATAAATGTCTAATGAATTATGGGAATTACTGTGGCATAAACTGACTGTTGCCCAAATGGAGAATTATTTAAATGGCAATTATGCAAGAATATGGATATTTTATATACATGTAGTGTAATTTTAAATCCGAAAATAGAAATGAATTATTCACCAAGTTATGTTAAAAAATTAAATCAGAATATAATACCATGCTCTAATAACTTATTCCCGAATGATCGTAGCAATAGAAAACTTATAGTTTTGGGGAAATGGGAAAAGTCTATTTCAAAAGATAAATGAGAACGTAAATATTATGGCAACACTAAAATTTAAGTTGAAGTTAGCGTACTTGTGTTGCTCATAAGTTCCAATTTGTGTTTGTTTCAAAAGGAAAATTTGAAGTTCACAAAAATAAAGTACTTGATAACATTGTTTTCCGAAATGCCAAAAAATATTAAAATAGTAGGAGATTGTGTTTAAATAAATGGACGGTGTTTACCCGAAATGTTTAAAGTATAAAATAAAGTCAACAGAAAATCCTTTTTGCCATCTCATGCAAGAATTAAATAGAGACTCATTAAAATCATTCTCAAAAATACTTGCAAATCACGACGACAGATTTGTTTCAAAAGTTAATAATCAGTCGTGATTACAAGACCAATATCCGGCCGTGTCCGTTTTGACGGCCTTTAATTCTGGCAATCAACCAACATACAAAAGACCAGAATGTTTCATACATGATGGCATAAAAAGATTTTAGGCATAAAAATGTTTTAGGCATAAAAATGTTAAATATCAGACAAAGGATTTACTCACCACTTGTCCGATGTGAAAATCGAAGTAGAAGCAGCAAAAAATAGATGAAACTATTCTACTGCAGTATAGGGAGCCTCTCTCAAAATTGCAATAAAAGTGGAGAGTGTAAGCGCTCGTAATAGATGGTCTGCTCGCAACAAGATGTTGGATCGAAATCAACAGTATTCCGCAGCTAGCCCTACAAGAAAACTATACCGAAACGCCCGGAATGTCAACTATTCCTCTTAAACAAAGCGCGTTGGAATGCAAAACTTGCACGCTCGCTACGCCCATCGCATAGTTAAGCAAAATTCTAGGCGGCGCGCGCTGTTAAAAAAAAGTTTAGTTGGCCGCGAGAGGGCGCTAGGCAAAAAGCATGATCGCAATGGCTGCTCACATGTAAATCTACACAAACACGAAGTTACAAAAGTTTGGTATGAAATAATGCTGGAGTAAGGAACCAGTCGGGGAAAAGTAAGTACTGCAACCCGACCTGGTTACACTACTTACTGTTTGCTCATGAACATGAACTTTGCATTGGAATAAACTCTAAAGGTACCACAAATCTGTTCTTAACAGAACAAAAACTACTTAGCAAAGTTGATAACAAGCAGGACAAGTTCTTCTCAGAACTAATATCTTCTAAGCAGTAGTTATTACCACATGGTGTTACCGCAAACCGAAACGATACCGATATCCCACCTTGTAAAGCCTCAAATCTTGTACCACAAATCCTTCAGAATCATTACAGGATTTGAAAATGAAGGTAAATGTAAGTAGGGGCAGGGCCATACAAGAGAGAAAACTCAGAAGAGCTATACTGATGTAACATTTACAAAAACATATTCATTTTAATTTTTTTTACAAAATTCATTGTGGTGTTAAGTTTTGGAGATGTTCTGTCCATACCATTTTTCATTTTCACCCTGTAAAATAATTTTTGCTTGTAAGTTGATATTTTCCTCGCAAGACCAAAGTCATTCAGTTTTAGAATGTGAGATTGACAAATAAAATCAATTAAGTTGTGTAATAATAACTTTAATGATTTTTAATTGGTTTTGGCTGAACAATTATTTGGCTCCCCTCCTAGAATTGGTTATGTCTGCTCACAGGTCAGATCTGTCTCTGTGCAAAAGCAACTTCAATTAATCCTGACCTTCCCAAATCCTCCCAAATCCTCTTTGCAAAATGGAGGATTTTGCAGGATTGCGGCTCTGTGACAAAAATGTGTGGCTGATTTTGGAGGATGCACTGTGTCAAGGTCTTAGGCCGGACCTTGTGTTGTTTATGCTCAGCTGGCATAGATTTAGGCCTACATGTAGATTATACTTAAAGTCCTCCGCACTGCTCCAGGATGTAACTGGCTCTGCCTCAACATATTGACAGTGATTGCTGGAGGCTTTTGCAGGATTGAGGCAGTAGTCGCCCCTCCAAGGACCACGTTCAAGTATAATTAACAGATGATTTTGCAGGATTGAGGCTGTATGCAAGTTTTATACGGAGGCAGTTGGAGGACTTTGCAGAATTGAGGTTGCATCTTAGCCTAGGGAGTTAGGGTTAAAGCCTTTTCCAGTAGGTTGCATATATACGCAATATATAAAGGCCATTTTTTCCTTTTGTTACAATTTAAAATGCATTACTAAAGTAGACACATTGGATGCTCTGCAAAGGCTTAGATCATTAATATTATTGTTTCCTTCTGTCTTTCCTTTGTTCAGGTTGTTATGGTGAGTCTGGGAGCGAGTCTGACTCATGGAAATGCAGACGATGTAAAGAGCAGGATTATCTGGCAGTAAGTGTTAATGCTGAATATGTAGGACAGGACTGACAGCAGTGTTCATGTATGTTCATGTTTATATGTACATGTTTGACAGATATCCATCCTGTTAAAGTTAAGTGTAAGCACAACTGACTAAAAACTACATTAGCTTGAAATAATGGCAATAATGATCCGCAGGTTTAGAAATCAATAATGTTGAAACAGAGATAACAAATACTGATGTCATTGGCACAAAGATCTAGAGCTGGGGCCTGTGGCTTAACCCAAACACCCTAAGCCCTTTTTGCTAGGAACCATCCTCAATCCTCCAAAATCCTCCAAAATTTTGCACCTATGTTCAAGTGAAGGATACTCAGTGACTCAATCCTTCAAAATCGTCAGACAGTCCTGCCTCAAAAAATGCATTCATTCTCAATCCTCCAAAATAATCCTCCTTTTCAAACACCACTCATTCTATATCTTCCAAAAACCTCATGTTTCTTAAACACTGTTTATCCTCAATCCTCCATAATCCTTTCAAAACTGCCATGAGGATTTTGGAGGATTGAGGTGGGTTAGGGTTTACTAGGAGTGAAGAAAAGGGATGCAGGTTACTATTAGTCACTGCACATTGTACACCTCTTACCATTTTTTTTAATATAAGAAGGTGTAAAAAAAAAATGATAATATTGATGCTGTCTTTATCAGTGAATATTGATCTTGTAGAATTTTGGCCATTTTGGATGAATAATAGGCAAACCCATACTAGTTACCGTCACCCAGTTTTATTCTGCTTAATGCAAATCTTAAGAAAAAAATGGATCAGCAGTTGAGGATGGAAATGTTTTTACAACTAAGTAAGTTAATTATGTATTGATGCAGGAATTTCAAAGAGTGTTTTGCTGTTTCTTACTTGCCACCACATAATACACATCTGTTTGTGGCGTCTTATTTGCAGGAATGTTGCTTATGTAATCTTCGTGGAGGCGCTCTCAAGCAAACCACAAATGGGCGTTGGGCACATATTGTGTGTGCTATGGCTATTCCTGAAGTGACATTTGAAGATGTACAAGCTAGAGAGCCCATTAACATAGACAAAATATCCCCTGCAAGATTAAAACTGGTAAGGCATGTTCAGAAAATCGACCAGATAAAGATAAGGAAATCAATCTAGATCCTTGTTTTTGTCCCTTTAAATGTTTTTGCTGTAATTTTCAGAAATTGATGGAGGGGGTTAGTATTTTATAGCAAATATTTTTACACTGACCTGTTTAAAGTTTTGTGTTCATAGATGCTGGAAAGATCAATAAAAAAAAACGCTCTTGTTGTCTGGTTCTGTGTTGACCCTACTTCAGATGAAACAGAGCAATAGATATGGACTGGTCAGAAAAAAAATCAAGAAAAGAAATGCTCTTGTTGTTTGATTCCGTGACCACTTTTCTTGAAAATGACAGCACACCAGGTGCCATGATTTCACAGGATGCTTGAGACCATTATTCACTTACAGTCAAGTAAGAAATTTCAGAATAATTTTTTTAGTTTTGTTTTTTATGTTTGCAAATGTTGTATAATACCTTTAACTTCCATTCATAAATACCTAAGACAGTTTACCCATTCCTATTGGTCGAGAGCCCGTCATGTGACCGGTCTTAAATGGTTGATAAAACACCGGCTGGCTGGTTTTAAACACTTTTCCGATGTCACATGAGTCTGTATTTCAAAGAGTCCTTAATTCACACAATACCGGCACCCATGCATTGTGCACCACATTTCACGCATAAAAGGAGAATTTTAGTTCCACTCGCGCGAGGTACATACCATAGACATAGCTAGAGGGGCGTTTCACAAAACGTGAAGTAAAATTGTTGTACAAAATCGTTGGAAATTTGTAATTTTGACTTGTTTTGACTTTTTGATTGAAAGTGTGAATGGAAATAAATATGTGCATGGATTCATGAATTTTCTTGTTGGTCCAGAAATGTTTCTTCTGTCGGCCATTCATCAAGATGGGTAGCAAGTTTGGCGGCTTAATCCAATGTTCAGTGGGTAGATGTGCCTTGGCATTCCATGTAACGTGTGCTCAAGCAGCAGGAGTGGTAATGGAACCTTGTGACTGGCCATTTGCAGTGTATGCTACTTGCCTCAGACACCCATACTCAGACAAGATGAGGGACAATGTAAGAGTTCAGGAAACAATCATTATAATTGTACACTCACCATAGACCCCTCTCATAGACAGCCACCTTGCCTACGTCAATTACAAATGTGTATTCAACGACATCAGGTGCGTGCAGTACAAACACAAATTTCTTTGAAATACTGCACAGCCGATGCATGTCACGGAAATTTGACACCCACTTTGCCGATGCATGTGACAATCTGTAGGCAGTGACGTCATTTGAGAGGGGTCTATTTGTGTATTGACTAGAGAGATCATGACAGCTAACAATAACTCAAATATTTTTAAGTAATAGAAAAGCAGAAGGTGACAAATCAGAGGGATTAGCTTAATGCAGTGTTGCCAATATGAATATGGTAAGAGTGTTGTATTACCTCACATGAGTAGGGCACAACAGTAAGTAGAACAGTTCATACTGATCCTTCACATCAAGCATAAGTATTGACAGTGAATGTCAGCAAACTACAATTATTGATGCCGTAATGTTTATTTTACTTGTGATTTGACATGAACAATTTGACATTGTTTTCTGATACTAGCCTCGTGATTACCCACTGAAGGACATCTGTGTTGGCCAGACAGTCATAGCCAAACATAAGAACAGTCGATACTACAAGGCAGAGGTGATTGCAGATTACCAACAGGCCTTCTACCATGTGAAGTTTGATGATGGCTCATACAGCGACAATCTTTATCCTCATGATATTGAGGTGAGTTGAGTTTTGAACAGAAGAGGCAAGAAAAATAGTAGGAATTGTAATTGTAATATTGATGATATGTGTGTACATGTATTTGATTGAATCAATGTAATGTTTGAGACATTGAGAAGACTTTAACCATTCATTGGTAGTGTTTCTAGACATAGCTTGGTACTTGTGTTACTGAATGTAAGAACTAAGTAAGGAGATGTATCCAGGAGTATTATTCTTATCTCACTGACAGTTACTGTTCTCAGAAAATGGGCAAATCGTCAGTGGGATCTAATATTAAAGTAAAACAACACAGAACAAGACCAGCAAGCCTGTAAACAAAATTGTATTCAATGGATTCAGATTGGCTATTGACTGGAAGTCTATTCCTGCATTTGGTCTGCACAATGAGCTGGATTCCTTGGCATTACAGGGCACATAATCACAAGAGGCCCCCTTCATTGGCCAAACCATTGTGCATGCTGTCCTATAAAGCAACTGCCCTGTGACACATTATGTGAACAAAAGCTAGCACACTGCTTTTGCCATTGAAAGCGTCCTTGATAGAATGTACAGCGTGCCAGGATCAGTTTTACGACTGCCCGGCTTCTCTTACAGGGTCCATGAAATAAATTTGTTTGAGGAACACATTTTGTGCAACTGTCTTTTAATACTCCTCTTAAATGTATGAAAACTATTTAACATTTTATCACCCTGGTTTTTAAGCCAACAGGGGCATATTGCGATAGCGTATTCCTTCTGTGTGTTTACATGTATGAGTGAGTTTGTTTCTGCATTCAATAGGGGACGTTGAACAGTAGAGGACAATAGGGTCCCCAATTCCCGAAGGTCCCCAGTTTGGCGACCGTGTACAACTATATGGGAGGTCTTCTAAAAAGTTACAAACAAAAAAGGGACAATAGGTGTCTGTGCCGCCCGCTGGTAGCACATGGCTGGGTCCCCGATTGCAGGCAAATACACACTTGGGTGAGCTTGTCTTACATACGCAGTGTGGACTTCCGAACAAAAGACGTCCACATAATGTAGGTAGCAGCGACGAAGTGTGGACTTACCCCACGTCCACACAGTGTTTCCCCATTTCTGGAAAACAGGTTTAGAGGCATTTTTGGGTTAGGTTTATCTGTAGCAGAATGAAGAGAAACACTAAAGGGAATCATTGAAAAAAAATTGGGTTGTAAGAGTTTTCACAGTTTGAGAAAAATGAGTTTTTCCAGTGGTGTTCCTTAACTACACGAAAAGAAAGGAAAGTCCACACTAGGTATGTGAAACAAGTCTGGGTGTGTTTATGGTGTAAATCGAGGACACACACGTGCAACATCATCAATGAATTGAGGACAGGAACCAGATCAAGGATGACCTCGATTACAAAACGTTTACAAAACAAATGAGAGCTGTTACAAAAAAGTTGAGAGTATAAACAAAGGAAAAGGGAAGAGGAACAATAGAAAATCCTCGATTTACACCAGAATACATGGTACCCTGTGGAGACATGGGTATAATAGGGAACAAAAGATAAGTCTTCACAGGGCAATTTTCTATTATACAGATATTGAGTGGATCAGCGTGGAATGGGAGGAATATTATCGCAAGGTAAAATCTGGACTTTGCCTCGTGAACTGGAAAAGTCCAGATTTTACCGAGCGATAATATTCCTCCCATTTCACAATTTAAAGCCACTCAATATTTGTTTTATATAACTGACAATAGATCCTTGTCATTTGATATATTTGAGCTTTTATTTCAATACAAAAGTGGTGAAAAATGTATTTCTCTCTTCCAAACCACCCCTTCACGAAAATGTTTGAACCCAACGCTGTAGCGCTGGCTACAATACGCGCTACGCGCAACGTTGAACGCGCACACCAGCATGCATTTGCACACAAATACTGGTCATGGAACAAGAATGATCCTATAACTGTTCAATAGTATTTCCCATTCCCCATGGGCGGATAGTACTTTTTGAGCCCGGGCGTGAATGGTAGTAATAACGAATGACACGTGATGTGAGTTCCACCAATTAAATGACAAGGATCTGTAAGTCGGATATAAAGGTGAAAAGGTGAATACTGTACATCTCCACAAGGTTATCACAAAATAGATATATGTGTATATGTATTTTAATTCAGGATTTCAGAACAAATACATTGCAGTGCTATGGTATGAAGGTACATGAAACTGGTCAGCACTCTGTAAGTGGCAGTGTAAGTAATGCAGGTTGGTTATTACAAAGCTGAATGTTTTCATGCAAAGCAGACAATATTTCTGAGATTGTGTTTCTACTGTTTCTGTATGTAGAGTCATGACTGCATGAGAAATGGCCCTCCAAGTGAAGGTGATGCAGTTACAGTGCGTTGGACAGATGGTCTCGTCTATAGAGGCACCTTTGTCAAAAGCTACATGGTTCAGATGTATGATGTAGAGTTTGAAGATGGTTCTGTATTGAGAGTCAAACGTGAAGACCTTTACTCACAAGAAGAACCCCTTCCAAAGAAAGTGACTACAAAACTGGTTAGTTCAAATCCTCTCACTCATGTAAGGTCTTAGCTGCTCCATATTTTTCTCAGGACCGGGTGGCTTGTGCTTTGGTTTCCTTTCTGTCTAGATTTTGTTGCACTAATTTTTTTTCTGTCGATGTTAGAAGCAAGGATGGACTAGTAGGCACTGTGCCGAGGGCTTAGGAACATTTTAGGCCTATGGAAATCAAGGGCCTATAAAACTTGGAGGGCTCCAGAAAAACCAAAGGCACCTTTAACACAATGCGGCATCAAAAACCAGACCAAAAGAAAGAAAGCGGGCCTAAGGGTGCAACCCTGCAAAAAAAATCCCATAGACACTAGTGCTAAATGCGCATACTTCAAAATTCTTTTAAAAATACTCAGAACTCTCACAGGTATTCAAGCTGCACAGAAAAATGATGATCAATGTGTCATCTTTCATTTTCTTTTCATTTTTAGTGGGTTGACCATTGACTTTTCGAGATATTCTCACCCAAAGAAGACGACCCCTATTTTCCCCAAAGCGGAAAAGTAGCCATCTTGAAAAACGATCCCTCCACAACATGGCAAAATAGCGCCATTTTCGAGCCCAATAGCATCCAAAATGCTCAGAATTGGAAGCCCCAAGTCTGGGCCAGAGGTTCATTACCATATCTCGTCAATTCCCCAATTTTATGGCACTCAAAACTCTCTAATATAGAATATTTTGAGGGTATAACTTTGATTCATGAGCTTGGCGTACGGATTTTTGGCCTATTTACAGGCATGCACCCCTAATTTCATGGCTCTACTAATCACACAATTCAGCACTCACCATCACCAGCCTGTGCTAACCATCTTGCAAATAATTATGTGCTAACCATGCTAGCAAATAATTATGAGCTAACCATGCTAGCAAATAATTATGTGCTAACCATGCTAGCAAATAATTATGAGCTAACCATACTAGCAAATAATTATGTGCTAACCATGCCAGCAAATAATTATGAGCTAACCATGCTAGCAAATAATTATGAGCTAACCATGCCAGCAAATAATTATGAGCTAACCATGCCAGCAAATAATTATGTGCTAACCATGCTAGCAAATAATTATTAGCTAACCATGCTAGCAAATAATTATTAGCTAACCATGCTAGCAAATAATTATTAGCTAACCATGCTAGCAAATAATTATTAGCTAACCATGCTAGCAAATAATTATGTGCTAACCATGCTAGCAAATAATTATGTGCTAACCATGCTAGCAAATAATTATGAGCTAACCATGCTAGCAAATAATTATGAGCTAACCATGCTAGCAAATAATTATGTGCTAACCATGCTAGTAAATAATTATGTGCTAACCATGCTAGCAAATAATTATGAGCTAACCATGCTAGCAAATAATTATGAGCTAACCATGCTAGCAAATAATTATGTGCTAACCATGCCAGCAAATAATTATGAGCTAACCATGCTAGCAAATAATTATGAGCTAACCATGCCAGCAAATAATTATGAGCTAACCATGCCAGCAAATAATTATGTGCTAACCATGCTAGCAAATAATTATTAGCTAACCATGCTAGCAAATAATTATTAGCTAACCATGCTAGCAAATAATTATTAGCTAACCATGCTAGCAAATAATTATTAGCTAACCATGCTGGCAAATAATTATTAGCTAACCGTGCTAGCTAGTAATTATTTGTTAGCATGGTTAGCTAATAATTATTTGCTAGCATGGTTAGCTAATAATTATTTGCTAGCATGGTTAGCTAATAATTATTTGCTAGCATGGTTAGCACAAAATTACTTACTAGCATGGTAAGCACATAATTATTTGCTAGCATGATTAGCACATAATTATTTGCTAGCATGGTTAGCACATAATAATTTGCTAGCATGGTTAGCACATAATTATGTGCTAACCATGCTAGCAAATAATTATGTGCTAACCATGCATACAGTACATGTTACTGCTACAGTACATGTTAGCAGGGATTTTTCACTAATAGAGCGTGTAAGTTGACCCTGAGAACATTCAAGAGTTTACAAGAAACCAAACTTCCGGGCACCTCGAGCTTCAACTTGTAAAACGAGTAGTTTTCTTGAAATAGTTTGTTTTGACACTGTTCTTTTCATTTCAGTTTGCAAAATGTGAATGATACATCAAATTAGGGAAAAGGAGAGCGAAAAAATGTGAAACGTTGCTGCATAATGTAGCCGGACTTATGTACAGATTGAAATTGACCAAGTTCTGTACTTTTGGCTGGTACCCGTTATTGTTTTATGCGTAGATTACCAACATCCCACTAGTGCTTTATAACGAGCGCTACGGTATGTTGTGCTTTGGAACTCTTGCTGGACTCTATAATTCACTCCCATTTTTCTGAGTTTTTTATGAGTTTTTCCTTTTGTTTTTTAATATCCAATGGTGACTCTTACCAATAAAATAAAAAGATTAAAACCAAGAAAAAAAATGGTGTCCACGTGACACAGTCGCACATTGTTTGATTCACTGATAACCCAACTCTGTAAGTGCGTTACTTCTATGGGAATTACAGGGCAGGGTACCAGCCACAAATCTTTTGATTCCAGTTTGCCATGCCGGCGATGATCATGCAAGTGTAATTAATCGGCCATTTTTATTGGGCAACTGAAAATGAAATTCTGGCAACCAGATTTCAAACACCCCTGCCCGAAGGGCAATTACATTTTAAAAAATTTTGCGAGGCCTGAATGTACATGTACATACATGTACGTTCACGTCTGCACACGTCAGTGCCAGAGTATGCAGATGCCGTACAGGGATTTGGAGGGGGGGGGGGGAGGGGTTTCCTCATCCCGATAATGAGCCAATCACGTTGCAACCTGATGCTCAGGTGAAACATTTTTTTCTGTGTTTCTTCAATAATTTAGACAACAGGCATGTAGTTTTCATATATCGTCAAATTCCTTTTGAATTTATCATCCATACGTATGGCCGTTTCGTGATTCAGATCTTCATAAAAACAAGGTATTATAGAAAACAAAATCAACCACACGTAAAAGTCCTATACCTGGCGGCTCGGAGGTGCCCGGAAATTCAATCGTGACCTTGGCTTATGCGCGAGACTTACATGGTCTATAGCAAGCGGAGCCATGAAATTGGGCACTTATCTCTACATTGGTAATTTCAGCATAATGAAAGGTCCGCAACAGAGCTTTTAAGAGATCAGTGACCAAACCTTAAAATGTATTTTTCAAATCTTAGCATCCATCATGTGGTTATGTTAAAAGAGATGACATTATACAAATATTGAATGCTTCGAGTGGTGTAGTAAAACTAGCCTCCCGAGGTGATCCATGGACATTCTATTTTCCCGAGGCGAAGCCGAGGGAAAATAGAATGGTCCATGAATCACCGAGGGAGGCTAGTTTTACTTCACCACGAGATAAAGCATTCAATATTTGTTTTATAACACTTCACCTACAGATTCTGCTTGATTTTAATATTTTACATTATTTAAATCTGAACACAGTTGAAATAAACTTCAATTTCAATACAAAATTGGTGGGAAATGTATTTCTCTCTTAAAAACTAACCCTTCACGAAATGTTTGAACCCAAGTCTGCGGCGTGCTCTCTTTGGAATAATACGCGCTACGCACAACGCGCAACGCACACACCAGCATGCATTTGCACACAAATACCGCGCCGTGGAAATAGTACTTTGGTTGCTAATGGTATAGTACTTTGGTTGCTATGCGCATAGTACTTTTGGCCGTGCACAGAAAGATAGCAAAATTAGAAAGTAACATGTGACTCGCTCTCGGCCAATCAAGACACAGAATCTGTGGGTGAGGTGTTATAATTGTAAATATAATCACTGCAGAAACACTTTTCAAAATGTATCCGTCAGTAACAGGTTCTGTACGTTTACAGTGTTGTAATGATAATGGGAAGCCATGCTTGAGTCTTTTGCAGATGGTTGTAGACATAGGATGGGCCAAAATATGTGGACATTAAACAGACTCATTCTTTATATCAGGCTTCCAGCGGTAAAAATAAATCAGCATATTGGATGCTTTTGTAAAATGTACCCAGGTTGACAGCAATTGTCACTAAAAGTACCCGGATTGTGGACAATATTACTTTTGATATTTCCCGACGCGCCCTTATCCAGGCATTTCTGCTGGTTCCTGCATGACCAAGAGCGTAGAAACTCACAGTTGTCAACCACTCATCAGAGCGTAGCGCGCGATACCATCAAACATGGACGCCCATGCAGCGTGTAGCGCACAGCACACAGCAGGCCAGGTATACGCGCACTGATGTCAATTATCACAATGGCAGCTTCAAATAGTTTGACGAAATAGGAGAAATAAAGACAGTGTCTTGAAATGTATTTCTTGTGAATCAAGTCAGCCTGATATAGATAATATTAACATTGGATGGCTTTTTTTCGGGGGATACAAGAATATATTGCACTCGCTATGACAATATTGCACTCGTCTTCAACTCGTGCAATATCATAGCTCGTGCGATATATTCTTGTATCCCCTCAAAGCCATCCAATATTATGTAATTAATGTCAACATAAAAGTGAGTTATTGTCCACACATATTTCATCTAAACACTGGCTGTCTTTGTTAACTCAAGTAAATGTGATTAGTTGAATAATGTCATACATCACAGTGTTTCCCTTTCTGTCCAGCACAGCTGTCCATAAGTGGTGGCCTTATTGAGGAGAAAGAATGTCCCTACAACATTGTGTACTATCCAGTCAGGGTTGTGTGCTATCCAGTCAGGGGTGTGTGCTATCCAGTCAGGGGTGTGTGCTATCCAGTCAGGGGTGTGTGCTATCCAGTCAGGGGTGTGTGCTATCCAGTCAGGGGTGTGTGCTATCCAGTCAGGGGTGTGTGCTATCCAGTCAGGGGTGTGTGCTATCCAGTCAGCATAAAGAGATCACTGGGTTTACAGCAGGGAGAAACAAACATCTTTTAGTGTTCCACAGATGCCTGGGTGCAACCACTTTACATTCATGCATTCACTTGGTCAAAATCACTGATTTGAGATTTGATATCGCAACAAGTGTGATTTGTTCGATGCCAATTAGATACAGTAAACTCCGGCTAAACCGGCACTCTCGGGACCCGAGGATTTGTGACGACTTACGTGAATGCCGATATCTGCTGTAAGTTGTCATTTTGCCGACTTACATGAATGGTCTTTTGCACACATGATTCATTGCACTAATTGGCTTTGATTTACCCTGGATTATCTCCTTAATGCTTGAGTTAAATCCAGCAAATTAATCCTCGAATTGTGCCATCACGTTTGGGTATGATAGTGGAGACCATGATACATGTACGTGCACAGTAACGAATTGAATACTCAAATTGTGCCATCACGTTTGGGGTATGATAGTGGAGACCATGATACATGTACGTGCACAGTAACGAATTGAATACTCGAATTGTGCCATCACGTTTGGGGTATGATAGTGGAGACCATGAAACATGTACGTGCACAGTAACGAATTGAATACTTGAATTGTGCCATCACGTTTGGGGTATGATAGTGGAGACCATGATACATGTACGTGCACAGTAACGAATTGAATACTCGAATTGTGCCATCACGTTTGGGTATGATAGTGGAGACCATGATACATGTACGTGCACAGTAACGAATTGAATACTCGAATTGTGCCATCACGTTTGGGGTATGATAGTGGAGACCATGATACATGTACGTGCACAGTAACGAATTGAATACTCAAATTGTGCCATCACGTTTGGGTATGATAGTGGAGACCATGATACATGTACGTGCACAGTAACGAATTGAATACTCGAATTGTGCCATCACGTTTGGGGTATGATAGTGGAGACCATGATACATATGTACGTGCACAGTAACAAATTAAATGCGTGGGTGGTCCGGTGTATACCACACACGCATTGACTGCAGCAGTAGTCATTCAATAAGACAACCCCCAAAATGGACAGAGCGCATGCGTACAGCCTAGAGGGGTATGCTCACGATGCATATGTGATGTATGCAGTAGGACACCCTTTTTCGACACCGATGCATGCAGTGATCACGGACCGTGCGAAACCACTTTTCACTCGACACTTGACACTTTTCCAACCGCAGTACGGGAAGTCGATGCCAATGCGTGATTTATTGAATGCCGACTTACACAAAGTATTTTGTAATGCTTTTATGGAAAGGGGACCGAGAATAACACGACAACTTGAGCGAAATGGCGACTCATAAAAGCTGACTTAGAAGTACAAAATGCAATGGAAATGCATTACAATCGGGACTTAAGTCAGACGGCCGACTTGAGCGATTTGACGAGTTGTACGATGTCGGTTTAGCCGGAGTTTACTGTATGTTTAGTTATTTATTTCATTGGTTTTTCGCGGCATCTTAATACATTTTATAAATACATTTTTTGTAGTCTACTGCTTCGGACATGCGGCATGAGAATTTCTGGGAAAACAAGATAGTGAAGGAACGTCATCGTCATGTGTACAGCCTGTATGCTTCAAGTGGATCTGAACCCGAGGACAAAACATCCATTAATACAAGAGACAAGGCAGCAAACAGTAGAAGTACTCATGGCATGCCTAACAAGGCAATGCAGGAGGTTATCCTGGCACACCATAGTGAACATACTGAAGAGATCCTAGACCAATCACAGGCAGTGATTGATGGAGTAAGACCAGATAGAACACAGGACAACCTTACCGAAGCGCTCATTCCAGACACAGCACAAGCACAGGCAGATATGTCCCAGATTGAAGTCTTCCCTCAAGAGATGAAAGGAGATTGCAATATTGAAGCATGATGTGTATGGACGGACAGTTGCAGTGGCATCACATGGTATGTGTGTGCCCAATTCACAATCAGATATTCTCTTGCAATTTTTATTGAACGATTGCTCAACCAGTAAATGTAGTTCAAAGTGGTTTCAAATACATCAGTTTTCAGTGAATTTGTTCATTTTAGAATGTTATTTAGGTATTAGTTATTTATTATAAAAGTTGTTAACTCTCATTAGTAACACTTGTACATATGCATTATGTATATAGTGAGAAAGAGGGAAAGGTAATATCATTTGGTGTGTATCTAAGTTTTTTGTTAACATCAAACCTTTTACACACATCTGCATGCATGCTTGATGTCAATTATATTTATATATATATCTCATCCTTAAAATGTGTGTTTAATAAGGTAGACAAAGTTGATTTATTACATGTATGCATTATGCCATTCTTCCCAAATAATTGCTTCCAAAGTGAAGTACAAACAAACCATTCGTATTATAACGTCTGCGTCAATAAATTGCTTTTAATACTCCATGCCATACTGCATGGTTGACCATTTCTCACAGCTTATACGCAGCACCAATGAACTTCCTTTTCGCTTACTGGGAACCTTAAGAAATAGAAAGGAACTATAATATATTATTATTTATATCAGGCTTCCAGCGGTAAAAATAAATCAGGTTATTGTATGCTTTTGTAAAACGTACCCGGATGACAGCAATATTGTCAGTAAAAGTACCCAGATTGCAGACAATATTACTTTGGATATTGTCCGGCGCGCCCTTATCCAGGCATTTTCGCTGGTTTCCGTAAGATCAAGAGCGTAGAAACTCACAGTTTTCAACCAGTCAACAGAGCGTAGCACGCGGTACGATCAAACACGGACGCCCGCGCAGCACGAAGCGTGCAGCGTGCAGCAGGCCAGGTATACGCACATTGTTGTCCATAATCACAATGACAGCTTCAAATAGATTGCGGACAATATTACTTTTGATATTGTCCGGTGTGCCCTTATCATAATTTCTCCTAGGAGAAATTATGACAGTGTCTTGTATTTCTTGAGAATCAAGTCAGCCTGATATAAATAATAATAATAATATGGGATGGCTTTTTGTCGGGGGAAACAAGAATATATAGCACTCGCTATGACAACATATTCTTGTATCCACCTCAAAGCCATCCAATATATAATAATTTTAGTGGGTTTTGTTGGTGTTCACAGTGAAAGGATCAACATAAATTGAAATTAACAACAATATGATAATTTGAACTTTTCAAGGCATGGGTTCTTTCAAAGAAGTTATTAATATATAACAATAGCATTCTGAGCAGGTATTTTTGTACAAGTTGGATCTGTCAATTTTCAATAGAACAAATCAGCAAGAGAGTTTTGTTTAATTTGGCATAATTTTGAAATGTCACATCACAGAACATAGCTTCACTTTACTGATGAAACTGCAGTGACGTTTAGTGTGTCAAAACCTTCAGGAATGCAGATCAAGCTTTTTATATGAGCATGAAGTGATGGTCAAGAGTCTGTGTACTTGAACAAGGTGCATGATTTCAATTGATTGTATAAAAAGAATAGTGTTTTTGAGAATGAATTATTTCTTGAATAATATTCTGAGTCCATTGTTCTTGTGCTTGAAACCTTGCTTTGAGAGACCCACTTGACTTGAATGGCTTGCTGAGTCAGTTTCTCTAAACATTAACAAATTGTCACAGATACAAATATCTAGCCCCTTGTTAGCCAGTCAGGCAAAGCTGGATAGTTCACTAGTTTTGAGGAGGTTGCTCACAATGTCATGTCAAGTGCTGGGGCCGTATTCACACAAGGACTTGAGTCATCAGTCAAAAGTAAGCACCCCACTTAAATGTGCGACTTAGACAAGTCTTACTAGTTAAGCTGTATTCATGATACATTTTCGCAGAGTGCCCATCTTATTTTCGTGACATAAATGTAAACTGGACTTTCTAGCAGATAATGGAAATCCTCGTAAATATCTAACTATTGGAACCCTTCCCAACTGTGTTTTGAACACATTTGGAACACTGATGAAGCCAAGATGAAGAAAATGTCTGACAGCCCTATGATTGCAGTTTGTGGACATTCTAACAGATTTTGAATTTTAAGCGGGCGCGCGGGTACAATTGATGGCATTGCAATTGCAAAGAAAATGCGGAGTAGCTTAATATGAAAAATTAGGAGCAGTTTTTGGAAAAAGCCAGTTTTTTTTCCAACGGTGGTCGGCTGACCAGCATTGGAAAAAATGCAGTTTTTTTTTTTTAATGTCAGCACAACAGGAGCCACGATTTTACAGGTTCCTTTAGAAGGTATTTTGTGATAAATTAATCATCTGTTTTTTGATATTTGCAAATGTTGTATCTTCCCTTTAAGTGTGACTTACGTATTGTCTTAAGTTTGGGTTTTGTGAATACAGCCCCTGGCCTACTTGGATACAACCCTCAGTGGCCATCTGATGGGATAACTGTTTATTATTATGTCAATTAATTGGGTGCTGAGTTTTGGTAGGTTTTGTTGCAGTTGTGAAAGTGGTTCAAATATGTCAAAAGACAAACCACTCACAGTCAATCATCTAAATTGGCATTTACTTAAAATTGAAAGTTTAATGTAGCTAATTTATTTGGTTGTAAATTGCCAAGTAGTAAGAAAATGTTTATTTCATGCAAATGTTTTGTGGTACATATTCTTCCCTGATACCTACCAATGGATTTCTTTTTGGAATGGCTGATGTAAATATGTTTATATTTCTGTGTCAGACACGGAGTTTGTGTTTAGTTTGTTGCCCACATCCTGGAAAATAATTTGAATATTCAGTCAAACACTTCAATCATCATATTTTAAGGAGAAAATGTTATCAACAATCAAGCAGGTCTGTGTGGATGGAAATTGATTGCAAATGATTTGTTTTTTTATGGTCAACTACATGTATACATATTTGTTTGCCTTATAATTAATAAATTTTGATTCAATCCTGGATGTGTCATGTGAAAATTGGGATCATATACGTCTGCAGTTCGGATAAACTTGCTGGTTATATCACCTTTTTGTGTGATCATTTGACCAAACCCAAAGATTTTATTCATTTTGATGTGAAATGCACATTGCCCATGTTGTGCCATATGAAATGACCACACAAAATGGTGATTTGACAAGCAACTTATTCCAAGCTGCATACGTATCCCATATGCAAATCAGTTCTAATTACCAGTGATGCGGGAACCGGTGACTTCTCGAGCTTGGAAAAAGTTCCCTGTTAAACACTATTTTGGATGGTTATTTATTATCTGCACTGTTGAGATGTAGATATCTGGACCCGTTGTAATTATCACACAAAATGGTGATTTAATAAGGCCACTTTTTTCCAATCCACACACATATCACGGATTGAAAAAAGTGGCCTATTAAATCACCATTTTGTGTGATAATTACAACAATAATCAAGGCTGTGGACAACATTTGCATGTTCGAATGTGCAAATGTTGTCCACAGCCTTGATTTTTTTGCTAGTCCATTGCATAATTCACACAGCATGGCTGTAAAGTCAGGTCACATTTATAAGTACTGCACCACGTTTCTTTATTGTTTTGAACTGAATTCTGACTGAAGGTAGTGAAAATGTACGCTTACACAAATGTTATTCATACTGCATTTGTTCTTTATCTAATACTTTCATTGTTTGCAAGCTGAGAATTTTTTCTTCTTCAAACAATAGACAAATCTACTTGGGCCAAGCTTTCTAGCCAAATGAAAGTTGCTTCACACTGTTGTGAATTCATGTGCTTTATCATTGATGTACACATTATTATGACACGTTTTCTGTCTTCCTAGGGTTACAATGTACACCTACATCACATGTAATTTGTTACCAGCAGAGTACAAGGGTGCATACAAACCTCATCTCAGGATATTCCACCACATTTACAAATGTAACTTTTCTGTTATTAGTTATTTTGGATCAAATAATCTTGTAAGAATTTTGGTCATTTTTTATGCATATTACATGCACATACATGTAATGCCGTTTGTTTCTCGTACAAATAATACTTCATTTCACTGGCAGTTCTGTGATCAGTAGCTGGCATTTTATTGTTATTGTAGTGCTTGTAGCATATTTTTCCTAAATCAGTTCAGTTGTGGGGTTATGTGTGGCTCACCTAGTACGTACTCCGTTCAGTCTTGGATCAGCTCCAAGAGGTTATGACTTGATTGACTTGATTGTAGGGTAAACATGGAATAGGCATCAGCAAGCGTGACTACATGCTGGATTAATAACCTGACTTAAACATTTAATACATTCAATAAACATTGAGCCAATATAAATTAAAATCTCTAGTGGGTGCTTTTTTTTTAGCAATATACGGTTTTCCACCACTCACTTGAAAAGCAAACTTAAACAGAAAGGAAATTTGAACTTGCCTTTTACCCAAGTCACCTATACTCACATTTCGCAGGAGATGTCGTCATGTTGAAAAATGCAGAACATTTCTACCCAAATTTTTGGCTGCTATACTCATTTTATAAAAAACGTAATCAATTTTGTCAATTTCATTCAGCTAAAATGAATACCCGTTTTATTTATTTGTATGTTCCCATACCGGGATGTGTTATAGATGAAAATAATTGAGGTGATGTCATGATGACGTCATCACATGGATGGTTTTATATACATTTTAAAAATGTTGAAGTTCATAGCCTTATCTCATGAACGCAACATGCTAAATTAAAAATTATTTCTGTAATCGGTTTATGTCATAGATATTTGCAAAAAAAAAAAAAAAAAAATTCCCTACCAACCTACCCTATTTTTGAATGCCATGTAAACGGAATCAGAACTACTACTTTATTATTGTTCTAAACGCCATACCTCACGAACCTAACATGCTAAATTCAAAATTCTCTGTAAAATAGGTTTGTTAGGTCAGATATTTGCACAAAAATGTGAACACTCTTCATGACGTCATCAAAAATATGAGTTTTTTCAAAACATTTAAGGGTAGGTCCGATTGTCATGGAAACATCGTGGAAAGGTAGATAATGTTACTAGTATGCAAAATTCGCAGTGACATGAGATGACGTCATCAACTGATTTTTAATAAATGGTTAAACTTTTATATTTTTGGCTACAAGCAAAATTTTCCATTAAATGCATCTTGTTCGCAAAATTATCATTTTGATAATTCGCCAAATACTGATAATACTGCACATCGCCAAAAAAGCATAAACTTATAAGCATAAATCATTAGGCGGAGAGTCCTATGCTCAGTTCATTCGGTTTTTTTTGGGGGGGGAGGGATTCAGGTCAAATTGTTTACATACTTGTATTTAAAATGACCAGGTTTTTTTTTTAGAATGGAGCTGCTTGTTTAATTTTAAACAGTCATCATCAGATAATCATCATTGTTGAAGTTGATTTATTCATTCATTGTTTGGGTTGTTGGTTCTTTAGACATCAGAATGCTTAACATTATTTTGTATTGGTACCAATAGGTACAATGTTGTCGCAATGTTTTGTTTAATGTATAAAATATCAATATAAATGTCCTCATCGCAACATCAAAAGATAACAAATATTCTAGAATTTGTTTTTGTTCATGTACATATATTTTTAAGCAAATGTGTTGTCTTTATTTGCTGTCATGTTATGAGCTTGCTACTTTATTAAAACAGTGATGTTTTATGTTTTCATGTATACTGGTGATTTCTTTGAAGTGATGTCATATTTGTACTTGTGATCGTGTTGGTGTTAATCGTACGTGCATGCTTGTTGCAATAAAGAATTCAGTAGTTGAAAGGAGAAAAGCACATTAGTCTCTTTTCGTGTGCCTGAATAAAATCTGCTCACGCATAAAATCTGATCAAACTTTTTTAAGGTTTCCATTTTTTTTAATTCAGCCAAATGAAAAGTGGCCATCTGCTTTCTCCTTTCAGTAAAGTAGAAAAGCCGATCAAACCTTTCGACAACTGGTAAAAAACTTCAGCATTTTGGCTACCGAGAAATGAAAATGTAACGGGGGTGGCCAAAAAGTGGTTAAAATTGTGCCTAGTTACCCCTCAGCCGACAGGCCAGGGTCACCGTAATGAGTTAAAGGTAAATGGTTTCCGGATGATAACTTGAGTTAGAAGTGAGATTTTGGTGCCTGACTTAGGTAAGGGAGATTGCTACAGGCATGTTGGGATTGGTTTTGGGGTCAAGAGGTCAAAGGTCAAGGTCACCATGTTGAGTTAAAGGTTAATAGTTTCCAGATGATAACTTGACTCTGGCTGTGGGGTTTCAACAGCAACACCGTTATTTTATAATATGCTGTCATTTTCGAGAAAAAGAGGAATTACCATAATTTCCTTACGATGGTTAGGACCAACTATCATGAGTAAAAAGGTTTTTTTTCTTTCTTTAAATAGTGCCCAAATTGTCCAAATTTAGTTAAGTCTGCAATTGGTTACATAGCTGTGAATGGAAATGATTTGCCCAGAGTGAAAAATTGGGTTCACATCACAAGAGGACAAGTCAAAGCGTACAAGTGAATATTGTTCTTGGTCAGGCAACTGGGGTGTGGGGACGTGCCTGTAATACGTCAGTCCCACATATGTTTATATAAGCCTATAATAAATATAGTTTCATTTTTAT